TTCTAATAGCTCCATAGAGAGACCAGGAATTACTTTTGAGTTAAAATCTGCAAATTTCCTATTTAACAGAACATTTCAGGCATATGATTGACAGCTTAGTAAGGTGCTGCTAGATAGTTTGCCTAGAGTCTAGAAAGAGGGATGGTGGCTACATTTGTTTGAAGAGCCAAGAGAGACACAGACATATTTAATGGATTATGTAATAGTTCCATTGTAGACTATCTGTGAATCTTGGAAAACTGCTTTTCTTTTTATGGAATTGACTTGGATTTCCACCAGTAAAAACATCAACACAATTTGACCTGGAAATCCTTATTTTTTCTTTTGGAAAGAACATTCATTTGGCTGCATTCAAATTTGTTATAAATGGTAGCTTTGGCACTTTGTTCAGCTATCTCAATGTTTTGGCCCAAGCCCTTGTTTTCTGAAAATAAGGTAGACATATGTCTCCCAGAAGTTGGCACATGTTTCAAAAGTGGAAGTGCTCAGTCATTTATTCTCCATAAATTTAAGTTATATATAAATACAGAGTCTCTGTCTTTGGGATACTTTGTTCACTGTTGAATGATATTGAAAAAATATCTCTGGTTTGGAAAATGCCTTCCAAATATATATTAGTTCAGTGATTGTTATCTCCTAAAAGGCATTGTTGTTTCACTCGGTGGAATAAAAATGCAGGAAATTAAACACAGCTCCTATTAATGCTCAGGACAATGCCTTTCATTAAGCAAGTGCTGTTTTCTTGGAATTTTCCTCAATACTACAGTATCTCATACTGCCTCCTTTTAATCTTCTCTTGGCATTTCTTGCAACTTCTAATGACTATGGGTGGGTCATAGAGCAATGTTTGAGATATGAGTGCCATAAAATTTGCATTTTTGGAAGGTCATTGATGTCATAAGCTAGAATTATGATACTGTTCACTGTGAACATTATGGGGTGATATGTACCATGAGCTACAAAAGCACTGATAAAACATCAGAGTTCTTGGAACTGGACAATCAAAAGCAATAATCGCCTTTAAAACTCCAGCATACCTTGGTTACATTATGAAATCTCATAGTAACCATATAAGGGTTTGATTAACCCTGTTCTAAGCCCTAGTTGGTGAAAGGAGCTTGCATTGTCTGCCTATGGTTAAGCAAATAACTGTTCTCATTATACACGAAGGAAAGAATATCTGGAAAGAATGAAATCAGTCCTGCTTTTAACCAAGACTGTGCAAATGTTGCTCACTTAACCCAGATTTGGGCATTAATCCTGAAAATGATGAAGTCACTATGAGGTGCCTGATTCAGTAATCGGCCATTATGCTCCCAAAGTTTTGTTGTAGTTATAACATGCCATCCGGTTGTCTCTGACTTACGGTGACCCTATGAACGAACGCGTCCCAGAATGTCCTGCCTTGGACAGCCCTGCTGAGCTCTTGTAAACTCAAGCCTGTGGCTTCCTTGATGGAATCGATCTGTCACACATTTGGTCCTCTTGCTCTCCCTTATTTCCCAGCACAGTGGGAAGTCCCATAGAGTGATTGGAAATTAATCTGATCGATTAGTAGCCTTTAAGTGATTCCTGCATGAACATTGCAAAGGGATACTTGCACCCATTATAAAGTGTTGGGGGCATTGAAGGGGCAGAATCAGCCTTGGTTTTGTCATGGTGCAGATTTTCCTACCTATATATGTTTGGTCATCTAAGAGCATTATGCCTTGTTCAGAGAGTTTCCTCAAAAGTGGAGGGAGGCAGGTTGGATTTGTCACAGGATGTCTCTATGGGTGAGACAAAGGCTTCTTTCTGTCAGTACAGTACAGCCAAAGAGACCTCTCAAAGTCCTGCAGCTCCAGGGCTGGAGTTGGGACGTGCCGCACTGGAGAGTCAGGGGCTATTGACCTGCTGAGTGAATTTGTGAAGGCTTGTAGCCTCCACTGGGGAGAACAAAATCAATTGCTTGCACACATTTTAAAAAAAGTACATAGTAGTGTCCAGAAACTTTAACTAATATTGCCTGCTATCTTCCTTACATGATCAAAACCATGAACTATCACATTCTGTGGTATTTCAGATTTAATTGGTTAAAAAAATGAACATGGGGATCCAATCCTACTAATATGTGAAAGCAATCTTTAAAGAGAAAGTTTGATAGGTATACTTAATGTTACGTAGTGTATTGGGGAGATTCATTGTCTAATATGGCAGCCTGGCACTGCTGTGTTGCATAACATCACAGATACCATATGAAACCAGACTTAGAGCAAGCTGGCCAGCCTTGCACTGCTGCTGTTTGCTGACACCCCTGTTGCTTATTGTTAAGCTTTCTTTACGTACAAAGAGGTTAGTTTAAAATGCCTTTCTCCTTCTCCCGTATTTCTCAAGATAATTATGTTTAAGACATTTTGAACTGTGTCTTAATGCTGGCTTTAAAATATGTAACTAAGACACTGAGGAACTAAAGCAAATTCTGAATTGCTCTTCCCACTTCAGCTTGATTTATGGAAAGATTTTCATCTGGTGGTACATGGATATAGAACTCTCTTGGAATCATATTTTAGTTACCGATTTCCTGCTGAGCTAATGCCAGCCTTACTTTCAGGTTATTGCTATACAAGTGAAATCTGTTTATAGATCAGAACACAGCAAATTAATTCCAGGCTTCCATTGCAATAATATGAGGTATGTTTTTGTAGTGACACATTTAGAAACCAAGTAGGCAATGGCTGCAGCTCCGAATATATGTCCTGGTTTACATAAGTATGATGAAAATGTCAGATATTTTCCATAAAAAAACACAGTTGTAAAGATAAAGAGGCTTAATGTATTCTTTGTGTCATCAGATGATTTAGGCAAGGATTTGATAGTTCTATCATTAAGGTTAGATTGAAGTGTTTACCAGATAAATTACTTTCTATCAATGTTCTATTTTAACCATTCTAGATCTTAAAGCTGTTGCCCCGTCCAGCAGCTTTCTCCCACATATGATGGGGTTGTTCACTCAGGGTCATTCTGCAGGATGGAAAAACAAAGGCAGATCTGTTCTATAACTTTGCACGTACTCAGTCCAGTGTAGGATCTTCCTGTGGTTGGAAAAAATTAGTGTGTTCAACACAAACGAGGAGAGTGGATTCACTGCTCTGTCTGCAAATGGCACAAGCATGCCTCTTCAGCAGTGAGCATAACCTTGGGCAGGGTATGCGTATCCATTTGCAACCATGTGGGAGTGCTTTCTTCTGCACTCCATTGCAAAATGCTGCACCTTCCACAGCCATCACTTAAGGCTATGATTATATCAGTGCTTTTAGTGCATGAAAGGCTGCATGAAGTGTGTGTGTGTGTGTGTGTGTGTGTGTGCGTTTATCTTACCTTTTATATTTACTGCCTACAACGTATACATAAAAGAATATTGGGTATATGAAGTCAATTCATATGGTATTGCTTTTATATATACATGCAACTTACATGGAGAGAGCAGTATTTATGAGCCAGGGTGACCTTTGAAGGTTTGGTTTGCTATGGGGTTTGAACGAAGCAAGTCGTGTCGCTGGTGATTTCATTAACGAGTAAGTCATTGGAAAGCAGTGCGATTCTATTGTGCATCACAGTGACTCAGACCTATTTATTTTGAAATCTAAGTGAGATTCTGAAATGGCAGTGGAGTGAGGTGGGGGTGTATGTCAGAACTCAACTGAGCAGAAACATTTATTTATGCAGGCTTTGGGGTTTTTTAAAAAAATTAGTAGCCTAAAAATAGAAATACAGAAATAAACTGCTGTTTTAGATGCTTCCACTTGTTAGGGTAAATCAAAATGTGAGAACATTTCACTTTTAACAGGACCTCTGTGATAACCCTCTTTGCAGATCGCTAGTATTTCAGCCTGTGAAGCATGCAAAGTGCAGACTTGGAACAGAGATTGGGGCAGAGAAAAGAGAAAGATGAAGACATAGAGGGCAGATTTTGTACCCTAGCCAGGTCTCATTTAGATGTACAGCTGGCAGATGCAAAACTCTGAGCACAGTGCCGAAGTGAGATCTACTAGGTACCTCAACAGGAGAGCCCTGATAAAAATTGGTGTATAGCTGCAAGTGCAGAGCGCTTGGAAATCTGGGATTGCTCCCTGAGAGCGGGAAGGACATTCAAGGATATGCCAGAAATCTGGATGTGTTCTAGGCATTTCCCATCACCATCCCCTTCCGACATGCATTGCTTTAATCACCTTCACTGCTTCCATTCCACTCACCCCAGAGCACATACCCCTTCCCTCTCCCCAGAAGCTATCAGTCTCCTTGCTGCTGTTCCCCGCTTCTTACCTATTTTGCACCTTTAGCCCATGCACTGCTATTTACCCAGGGAAAGGTTAGCAATCAGCATAACAGAGACACCGAAGGCGTATTTGAGTACCAAACTCTCCTCCTGAGACTCCTTCCATGGTTTGTCTGAATGCTGGCCCTCAGGGAGAGAGGGGAAGCAACTGCAGTACTGCAGGGGCAGACACCAGATGCTCAGAGTTCGCACGCCCTTTCCATACCGAGAAATAGACCCCAAGGCCTTCCAACAGTTCCAGTTCCTGCCACAGTGCATAGCAAGCTGCATTGCACTTGTTTTCTGCTTTGTAACATTCCTGAGGACTGCCCAGGTGACAGAGGTGCTGCATCTTCTCTCCTACAATGAACCTTAGTGAGTCTAATGCTGTCATGAGCACAACAAATTGGGGCAAGACAACTGCCTTTCCAACCTGGAATGCTAAACTCATATTGTGAAAACACGAGGAGTTCAGGAGGCATTGATATACGTCTTACCCATTTGTGGAGTCAGACATGACTAACCACTAGCTGCATCCTTCCCGTGCATGTATATTTCCATACCAGCTTGAAGAAGCTGATGTCTGTGAGGGAAACTTTGCTCAGCTATCAGTTTTGCATATTGCTTGCCAAGGTGGTTCATAAATGGAGGGATCTGTCGAGCTAGCAACCCTGTTTATAAAACTTGTGCTGTAATTTATTTCTAGAAAACAAAAACATGGCAACAAAGGAGAAGCTGCAGTGTCTAAAAGATTTCCACAAGGACATTCTGAAACCTTCTCCTGGCAAGAGCCCTGGGACACGGCCTGAGGATGAGGCAGAGGGAAAACCGCCGCAGCGTGAAAAGTGGGCGAGCAAGATTGACTTTCTGTTGTCTGTGGCTGGAGGGTTTATCGGATTAGGCAATGTTTGGAGATTTCCGTATCTCTGCTATAAAAATGGCGGGGGTGAGTATTGTCATTGCATTCATAATCTGGAGGGGTCATGGGAAAACTGGGCTCTTCTGAATAGGACTGTGATCAAATTTTAAAAACAGTTTAGAGCACAATCCGTGTGCACATTTAGATGGAAAATGGTGCTATAACTCCCAGCATTGCCCAGCCAGTAGGGCGGATGGCTAGTGAATGATGGCAATTGTAGCCCATTTTTTCTGTCTAAACAGAATTTTTACACCTTTAAAGTGTTACTGAGTGAAAGCACAGCTAAGTAAATCATTAGCTAGTTATAGTTAGAACACAATAGCATTTATTTTTATTGGGGATATAACAGCAAGTATATGAAATACAAATACATTAATTATTTCAAATACATTTGTCAGATACAAAAAAACAGATATTACAAAGTAGAAAAGCATTCATATACATGCTACATTGATAACAATATTCTATCTAAAACCCAGTATTCAGTCAAAAGAATACTATTTCTTTTGTTACTGTTTCTCATCTATTAATCTGAAAGTAGGAGGTCATTTGTGTAATATTTTAAGAATCTGATTAATAATCTTTCCTCTCAGGCAACGCTTTCAGAACATGCTGATAGAAGAACATGGGAGGGATTTCCTAGAGATTTATAGACCACCATCAGCAGCTGCTTTGTTTTTGCTTTTTTAAATTACTATTATTTATTTCATTCAGTCATAAAATACTTCTAATTTCCCATTTGTGTTTTTTCTACAGGTGCATTTCTTATACCTTATTTCATTTTTCTGTTTGGGGGAGGTCTTCCTGTGTTTTTCCTGGAGGTGGCACTAGGACAATATACCTCTGAAGGAGGAATTACATGCTGGGAAAAGATCTGCCCCATTTTCACCGGTTAGTTCTTTTCCTCCTCTGTTCTGGTTACAAGTCAGTTCGCAGGATTGTTGCAGTTCTGACCTCTGGGTTATGCAGAGAGGGGACAAGGCTGTGCACAGATGGCCGGCTGTATTCTCACTGACTCATGTCACAGGTTTTATCCTCAGCTGTGGTGGTGTCCTGGGCACACCCCTTTATTTCCTCTCCTCTGTAGTTCACCTTTCTGGAGAACGACAAAGTGCTGGCCTTGCGGATGTTGTTTTACTGAGAACAAAACCTTCTCAGCAGGGACTTTACAGGACTGTGTAAGAGTCACCTAGCGCCATTGATTGCAAAAGAACTAAGAATCACTTGTATTTCTGAGCGTAAATTGAATTGTTAGATCTGTAATGTGACATGATCTTCCAGAGATCTTTTGGGTTTTTTCATTTTTTGTACTGCTATGTTCCTTTACCCTTCAATAAACTGCTTACTCATGTGAATTAACATTACCGATTTTAATGTCAACCCAATAAGAGGCCTTAACATGCAGTCACTGAAGTCCTATAAAATCCTTCTTGGCAGTTAACCAGACAAGATTTAAATGCATTCCTTCCTGTCTGTGGAGAGCCATCCTGCCCTATCTGTGAGTGTTATAGCATGAGGTAAAATAGCTTCCTGGTTTATAAAGCATAGACTTCAGAACAGTTTTAAATAAGGCATAGTGGGTCTGATAATCTGTTACCCTTTTCACCATGACAAGAGGTGATCCAGGCCATGGGAAGTGAGATGAGCTGAATCTTGGAGCTCCTGGCAGAGATAAGCATAGGTGCTTCCAGCCAATTCCCTTCATTTCAGAGCTGAAGGCAGGCAGTGCGGGCATGTGACCTTTGCTAGCCAGTGAAGGTCACTCTGTGTTTGAAACACCTGAATACTTTGCATCTTAGGGAAGGGAGGTCCTGATGCCAGCGCAATTTTAGTTGGCCAGTAAGGCCAGCCAAAATGTGTCAACCTTCCTGATGCAATGTTTAAAAATACACAACTGTAACAGCAGTGCTAAAGTCTAGAAGATCCCGATAGACATTTTAGAATTGATTTTCTTTTACATTGCATTGATTTTCTTTGAGAACACAAGGAACTCTTTATATTCCTTGTCTTAAATCCGTGGATCTTTACTGAACGTGGCTTCATAGCTGCAGCTGGAAAATGTGGACTGGCTGGCATGCTCTAGGATAGCTCAATCGATTCACCAGTCATTAAGTTGTCCCAGGGCAGCCGGGTGTTTCATAAGGGGATTGCCAGCTTAGATCAGCTTTGTGTCTCCCAAGCTACTTACTGGGAAACAAGTGCCACGGAAATCTGTAGGCCCTCTTGCCAAGTGAATGAACCTGTGATTTGGATGAAAGTTAAAGCCTTATGCCAGTATGCGACCCATTAGCATCTTGCATGCCATTTTGTGTGGAGGACATGACCTTATCTGCCAGTGACCCTGTGTTTGAAAACCAAACAGGGCAGGGTTTTATTTTTATATTGTCAAACATTGATATCTGTGTTAAACATTTATCTTCTTTTACAAATAGCAGGCACAAGACTTTTGCAATAAGAGAGAGATGCATGAATACTTTACAGTTTTTTCTTTGTTGACTTTCTCTGTTTAACTGTTGACCTCCTTATCAGACCTGACACAAACATATTCACCTAGAAAGTTGCTGTTACATTTACCATTGCTGCCGCCAGTGCTGCTTGTGACATGAACGGTGGACTCCTATGCAAGTTTAGACAGGAAAAAAGGCCTACAACTCCCAGCATGCCAGGTCTAAACTTGCATAGGATTGCAACTTAAGGCTGTGATTCTATATACACATCCCTGGGAATAAAAGCTACTGAATTTGATTGTACTTCTAAATAGACATGTACAAGATTCCCATGTAAGTCTCCCATCTTAGATGAGCTACCGGAGAGCTAAACCCACTGAAAGTGAAAATTCTTAGTAAATCTACCTTATTTCATGTGTTCCTTTCTTTTGCTTTCTCTTTCTAAAAACAGGAATAGGTTATGCTTCCATCGTGATTGTGTCACTTCTGAATGTGTATTACATTGTCATCCTGGCCTGGGGACTCTACTATCTATTCCAGTCTTTTACCAGTGTCCTGCCTTGGGCTCTCTGTCACCAAAAGTGGAATTCAGAACACTGTGTGGAAGACATTCTCAGGCACAACAAAACACTTTGGTTGTCAGCAAATGCCACTAACTTCACTTCTCCTGTCACAGAGTTTTGGGAGTAAGCACATCTAATTGTTCTTGTTGATTGTTCTTTCTGATGGATGACAGATGATAGAAAGCAGCTCTGATTGAAATTATAAGGGGAACCGTAGACCATTACATAGTCTTGCAGAGGCCTGGGATAGTATTTTCTGCTAAAGTTCAGTTGATATCAAAGACAAACATGTCTCAGTCCTTAAACAAATCTAAAGTCACCATTCATGTGTTTCTGTCCTCTCTGTCATGTTGCCCTTTTTCATACATTCCTGGGTGAACTGGGTAAATGCAATGCAATGGGTTCCTGTTGTTGTGTTTGGTCTAACTTCTGAAGGCTGAGCTTCTGGTACCTGTGGATGATCCTCACATAGTGTGTGTGTCTGCATACTTGTGGCTCTAAATGGTGCAAGAAGCCTTCTTGTGTAGCGGAACCTGCTTCCTTCAGATGTGATATCGAACGTGGTAATAGCAGAAATAGGGAAATGACTTGATGGGAGCAACCTGGCTAGATGTGCAGCTGCCCCTTTCACTACATTTACCTTATTCACACAAATTGGAAAGGCCCTTTAAGCTTCCTTCAGATGAAGGGCTCACCCACCAAATCAAACAAGAGCAGGGGCTCACTGGCTTACTCTGCACCTAATACTACACCTCCTGGCTTGCAGACATCTGGATTATGCCATGCACAGTGAGTCTACAGCTGTATGCATAAGGACAGCCACATCACCTGGAACCCCAATCATGCAGGGCTCCAGGTCACATTTATTTATTTATTTATTTATTTAAACATTTTTATGCCGCCCCATTCGCCGAAGCCTCGGGGCGGCTTACAACAATAAATTAAAAAATAATTATAATATTAAATTAAAAAATATAAACATTAGAATAAAAATACAAAAATACAATATAAAATAAGCCGCCCTGAGTGCCTTTGTGCTCATAGCTGCATACATTGAGAGGTCAGCCAGCAAGAGCGGCATCGGGGTGGAACCCAATAGCATGACTCCACTCCCTGTTTGTGCCTTTATACATTTTCAGGAGTTTTTGGTTTCTGTGGAAGCCCATTATTTGGTGGGCTGGTGGAACCCAAAGTAGGTTTAACAAGATGACAGGTTTCCTTTCCCCAAAGACCTTCAGAGAAAAGTATTTATTTGTTTTTCCCATTTGACTTACTATTAAGCACAAGCTTCTTACACTGAATAAATTCTAACAGCCCTTCTCACATTACTAATAATGTCTCTAGTCTAATAATGCCTGAATGCAACTGAGAGTATCAGTGGTCTTTTCTGTGAGATTTACATGTGGAGATGTAGAATAGTCCATAAGCAGAAACCAAGCTTGGTCTATGCACGATCATCACTCCTGTCCGTGGCTTGACGTATTCCATTCCCTGAAATACTATATTAGTTCTTCAAATTAACTTGACCTAACATACATTTATACATGTATGTAGGTTGATCATTGGACAAGCAATGACATCTATGGAGAAGATAATTGGTATGCGTTATATTTAGAAAATGCATACTAGGAGATATGCTGAAACTTGCAACCCAACTCCCCTAGTTAACATAATACCTTGGATAATACATATATCATAATCCACTAATGACTACAGCAAACAAGAAAATGATGCCTGTAGTACAAAACTTTTAAATGCGCCATTAGCAATAGCCAGCTGTTCAGTATTCATAAATAATACTGAGTTTTTACTGCATGGCATAATAATAAATTCCATTTTAGTTATCTAACACATACAGGAACAGTGAGAAGAACAATGTTAACTTATTATACGGGGAGAGCTTACCTAAGGAATTTGCACCTTACATTAACAGAGAATTTTCAGTAAACACATAGCCATGCTATATACATTGGTTGGACTTAGTTAATAAGTTCCTTAAGGGCATGATCCTGTGCAGGTTTACACAGAAAAAAGTTCTATAGCTTCCAGCATTCACCAGCCGGCTGAAGCACTTTTCTCTTTCTAAACCTGCATAGGATCGCACCTTAATCCACTTAACAAGTGGAATAATGCATGTTACCTTGCAAATATGTAAGCCTCTTTATCATGTATTAAGCTCCCTTGAATTGGGTCCCGGAAGACTAACTTTTGAGTCAGGTAACCGTTGTTGGTTGAGATTTGAAACCTAAGTGGGATGTATCTGTGCAGATTTATTGATTGTTCCTATTGAAGCAGATGCATTTCAGACATGGTTGGCCTTGTGAAACACTCACCTTCACTTGCCAAGTCCCGCCCTCTTTCTAAGCACAGTTACAGATTATGCATTGGAGGCTGTCATTATAGGTGATTTGAGTTAATGGCCTGTGTAAATTTCATGCTTACTTGAGCAGCAGTCATAAGGGACAAGTAATGTTGGCTTTATTTCCAGAGATTTACCTCTTGGGATTGCATCACATGCTTCAATTTCTTAGCTGTAAAGACTGTATTTCATAGTATAGGGTTGTAAGCCTAGAACAGCAAGAGGATGAAGTAGGGAAAAAGTGTGAGTGAAGAAGAGCCTTGATTATCCAATCTTGCCACACAGAAGTTTATAATTGCTTGTGCATAAGGAGACCTGCTTCATCTAGACGAGCTCACCAGATGCATAAACCTAAGCCAAAGAGAACAAAACTAAACAGATTCCACTTTAACTTTAGGTGCCCTTGAAGGCAGCTATGTGTTTGCACTTTCCCTTCTCTTAGGTGAGAACCTTGAGCAAAGCTGGTTTGTTATCATGCTCGCTGTTCTAAACAGCTTTAGTCTAAGTTGAAATGGCATCGCTTTAAAAATCACATGGTTCCCCTAGTTCTGGGATTGTTTGCTTACTTGCTAAAGCTGAAGATTGTGCATAGAAGTGACTCTGTACTCAGTTCCCTTCTGCGCTGGATTTGGTTTTAAAATCACTTGAGTTAAATCACCAGTAGTAATAAATAATTGGTTTATACTTTATGGCTCTATACAGTAAAAATGGAAGAGTGGGCTTACAGCATCTCTCTCTACGCATCACAAATCGGTATTATCAATAACCACTTCCTCAGGCGTAGTAACACTAGTTTCAGCGGGGCTTCTCATGACTGGATTGCCTTTCCAGTGGTAATGCGCATTGTTCTGAAGTAAAAACAAACCATGACTCCATTTTAGGCCACTTTAGATATGTTACTCTGTTGTATAGTTTATGGCATAGCCCTTCTGATACTATGCCATTCAAATCAGTTCTCAGGTATTCAACATGAACAGTTAACACTCATCAACAGCATTCACACAACACAACTGTGGGCCAAACTGCACATGACAAACAGTTCTGGGAGCCTTCCTTGTTGATTTTTTTAAAGAAAAAGTAGGTGCCTGAACTAGTGAGTGCAAAGCCCGAGGGAAGGAGCGTGGAACTTGGTATCTAGTTCCTCTCATTCCGAGGGCTGCTGCTCATCCCGCCCCTTTTGTGCCATTTGTCTTCCCCCTGTTTCCTGCTTTTCCATCTACAATGGTTTCTAGGCTCTGAGAGCGTAATTTATTTCTCCTCATGAAAGGGGTGGGGGGAACTTTCAGGTGATTTTGAGCAGGACGCGAAAGGGGTAAGTAGCTCTTTTCACCATTTAGAATGGTAGCAGCAGCAGCAAAACACAAGTACAGGCAGTCTCAGATTTCATTGCTGGGATAGCCTAATTTGTTTGTAAGTCGGATCGTGTACATACAGGTCGTATTTAGCATGAGTAAGCCAAATGTTTGTCTTAGTATACATATTTTTTCATCTTTCTGTGTATATAGAAACACTTAAGAAACACTTCCATATACACTAAAATGTCTTAAACACAGTAAAGTACAATAAAACAAGTTATGGAAGGCAATGCTAACAGCTCGTGACCTGAAACACACTGTCTTGAGTACACCCGAGTGACAAACAACTGACGTCGTGGAACGTTTTCATGAACCTAAATAATAGTTCCTGTATTACTACTATGAACCATTTGATTTTTAACTCAAATTTTTAAATTAACTGGCTTCATGGCAGTTCATTCTTAAGTACAGATTTTCGGAACTCGGACGTTTGTAATCCGGGACTGCCTGTAATAGAATTGCCCATCGTTTGTACTCTGAGCTGCCTGTCATTCTTGGCCCCCGTCAATAGTGCTTTCCCATATTAAAAAACCATAGTTTTATTATTTTATAGTACATATTTACATAATGAATCAAGTGGAAACCATTTAACCTGCTTGATTTGATTTGGCACCATAAATTTTAGCAAGAACTAAATAGATTAAATAGGCAATATTGTAAATGCCATCATTCTGCTTTCAAAAACGGCTTCTGAGAAGCAAGGAATTTAATACATTTTAATTGTTTTTATAGATGCTTCATTATGTTTTAATTGGTTTTATGGTTTAATTGGTTTTTACTTTGTTAGTATGTTTTGTGTTGTAAGCCAGCAATTAGAGTCAGCCTATAAATCTAAATAAATAAATAGTCTTACGGTATCTTTGTTTGTTTGTTTTTTTCATTTCTTTTTACCATTTTAAGGAACAATGTCCTGAGCTTGTCTTCAGGAATCGATAAGCCTGGCGTTGTCAAGTGGGACCTGGCTCTTTGCCTCCTTCTCGTCTGGGTAGTATGTTTCTTTTGCATTTGGAAAGGTGTGAAGTCCACTGGGAAAGTAAGTGTTTGTTGACTCTCTTTTATAATATTTGTCTTAACATGTGATCTCTGACTAGAATTAAAGGATAGATTCTTTGGGTTAAAGTAAGTAAACAGTTTATCGGGCACCAAAATATATTTATGGATTATTTTGCTGGGATAGATCAGCTGGCAAGTAGCAATGAACACTTTAATTGGTGTTAAAGGGGTGTTAAATTGAAACAAGTTCTTTGGAGCAGGAAAAAAAGGGCTTCTCACTTCTAACATTCCCTAGCCATTTCCTAGGGTGGCTGGGGAATGCTGGGAGTTGGGAGGGTTTTCTCTGTCTAAACTTTCATAAGATTGTACTTCTGGTGTCTAAACAGAAACTTCAGAACCATTCTAAACTGCAGTTTTGTACCCATGCCAAATGTCAGGCCTAAAAATTCTGCAATATCTTAGCAAGAGTTTTGCCCTGCTTGTTATTTTAAACTTTTCAACCTACTCCTTGTTTATCCAAGATTGGGAATAGATTTATTGCTTAGTTTCCTTTATGAACTCTTTTGCTAGACCCACTGAAAACTTGGGATAAATTCAGAGGAACTTCAAGAACTCCATAAAGTCTGGCTTCTTTATTTCCTTGTTTCTCTAGGATCAAATTTGTTGAATGTCCATGTCCTTTTGTTTTTATTATTGCTGAACATTCTTTGGTTGTCCTCATTTTGTCAAGAGGGTTAACCTATGGGAGATAAATATTATTAAGTGACAGGCAGACTATCCTTCATTTTGAACACATACTAAAGAATAAAGTCTAGGAATTCCAATGCATTGCTTAAGAATATGATGTTTAAAAATCAGAGTAATTCTAAATTTACAGGATTAATATTTATTCATGTGACTCTAATTTCATCACGGATTTTTAAAGCCAAGTCAAATACAAGTATTGTACTGCCTTATTTTTCAGACTTTTTTCTTGTTTTTTGTTTTACCCAAAGCAGCTTCCATAGCTCAGTGCTAGTAAGGTCTGAAAATATTTATCTTCCAGTTAATTCCTATTGGCATAATATATTGGATTAGAATGGCAATCATGGGATCAAATCTGATTAATTTTAGAGTAGAATTTGCTAGTAATCAAGGATAGAATTATATGCTCCTTATCTTTGATGTTAACAAGAAAAGGAGTAATAGTTATTACCAATCAATAACCATGTTTAATAGTAATGTTTAATAGCTATTAAGACAGGTACCAAATTAAACAGGCTGGAAGATTTGTGGGAGAAAAATCCAGGAGAATTTCTGAACTATCTATAGCATTATTTTAAATAGGATTTTCCAAAGGAAGTTGCGGGGGGGGGGGGGGAATTACCTGAAGAGGATGATGTAGTTACATGTGTTGTATTTAGAAATCAGACTGGCTGCATGAGTTATTATAATGGAGTAGGCTTTGATATCTACTCTCTTGAGGCAAGAAGATATATCTCAGGAGCTTTTATCTAGCTGAACCAATTTCATGAAAACAAATTTATATTAAAAGTAACAGAAATGTAATTACCAGGACGATAAATGCCAAGGCCATATTTGAAGGATAAATAAATAAAGGTCAGTGTGAAAATAACTGGATGTGTCTGTCCAGTGCCAATGCCCAGGAGGCCGGCATGCACTCAGCTTTAGGAGACCCCACCCAAAATAAGGCAAGGTGTACAGACCCACTGGATTAATCTCCTGCGACGATGGGTTCACATATTAATTTATTCTATTGATCTGGGTATGTATTAAATACATTGTCAGTGGTTTCCTGCCCAGCTCCATACTTTTTCTGTGCTGAAAACAGTGTTGCAAGATCTGAAGAAAGAGCTTTTCATTGGGTTAATGGCTATGATGTACATGGTATACACATTCACACATCGGTTCTGCTCTCTGGTGAATCTGTGTTCACATACCTGTGTTCTGTCATTCGAGCCTTGTTCAGGCATCACACTTGAAGGGGGAAAGGCAGTGCACCATCCTTTGCACTCACTGCTGTGCTTCCCTTGTTGAGCAAGAAGATCTGAAGGGGAATTGCCCTGTGTGCATATTCACTTGACCACTGGTAGAAACCTCCATGACCTTGGGGAACTGTCTTTATCAGGATTCCCGATTCCATGCCTGCTTCCAAGTGAAGATCCATTTCAGCCCTCTTCAGGCTTTCCAAGTGGCAGTAACAGTGGCACAGTGGCTTGGAAAAAGGATTCTCTTTTAATAATATTTTGTAACCCACCCAGAGGACATCTATTAATGGTTAGATTAAAATATTATGAATAAATGAATGAATATATATAAGAAATCTACCAATACCAGAATTTAGCTGAGCAGCACTTGCATCTTGGTATCACGGAAAAGCTTACAGTTAGACATCATCAGGTCTTTGAAGCTGCAGGAGAAGTAGGCAAATCTTTCTAGCAATTGTTCTCATACATGGCATTTACTTCCAGCCTGGCTGCACATATTCCCTTCTCTTGTTCACTCTTCTGGTGTGACCACCTTTTCTGTCTTCCCGTTTGATTAGCTTATGCCATGTCAAGAGTATGTTCAGATGACCAAGTTCTCCCCAGTGAGTTTTCCATTATATAAAAGAGGTTTCCAGGCTTTAACAAAGTCCAGCACTACTTTCAGCAAGCATGTTTGCTGAAAGTATAGTCTTGCCAAGGGTGTCACACTTTGACCCCTTCATTTCCACTTGTTTCCAAGTTGCTTTGAACAGAAGTGGGACCCATACTGAAATTATTTGAAACGATGTAGCATGAAATCAATTCTAATAAAAATAGGAAGGAGGTACGGCCATTTGAAAAGACATGCAGAAAGACTTCATGATATTTCTGAGTGAAGTTATACTTTACTTTACTTTGGACTAGTTCCACTGATGATGCTTCAAGTACATAAAGACAGCTCAGAAGGATGGAACACCTTGAGTGCTCCAATTTCATTTACTTCTGTTTGTGTGATATTTGGTGCTGCATGCTTCATTAGGTTGATGGATGCGATCTGCAGTCTGTATAATGAGAATTAAGTGTGTTGGCTTGTCAGTTTGAGTGGCAATGCAACAACTTCCTGTTAAAGAAGACTAAGTTTAATAAAGTCTGACAGAAGGATTTGGCATATTTCATGTGTTATCTCCAATGGTGACTTTTTTCCCCTTTTAGCAGAAAGCACTTCTACTTGCATAGGGCAAGACACCGATTTTTGCTTGTGTCCTCTACCTGCTGCAACTGTCTTATGTGATATCCCATACTGTTCCCTACTTGTAAGAGCAGCTTTCTAGAGGCATGAGAGCCTGCAATGTACTGGGGGACTGGTAGAAATTCAGTGTTCTGTTTTGGGCATGTGGAACTAACTAAAGATAGATTCCATAGCTCCTTTTCCTCATAGGCATTCAGCAAATTCCCAAGTAGCTACAAAGCTCTTTGCTGAGAAAGTATGCAATCAGGACTGGCCAGTAATTTGCAATAACCAAAAAGAAATATAAGGAAAAACATAGGATCGTATGGAAGAACTGTAAAGATAAAGGTGCCCAGAACTAACGTCTGCAGAAAATACTTTTATCCTTGTTCTTAACAGTCTACTTTCTCTTGCATGTTATATATATTGATGCAAGTTCGGGAACCTGCTGATCCATTAACTGTTGTCAGCAAAGTACAAATATTAAATAAATATTTAATAAAATAAAATAAAATATTAAATTAAATAAATCTGAGTGTATAGTTTTAAATTACAGGAGTAAAGTAATTTTAATTCCGTATTTCTATTGCCCCTTTCCCCTTTCTTTTTGCCAGGTTGTGTACATAACAGCAACATTTCCTTTTGTCATGCTTTTTGTACTGTTGATTCGTGGTGTCACTTTACCTGGAGCTGCAGAGGGCATAAAATTCTATCTTTACCCTGACATCTCTCGCCTGTCGGACCCACAGGTGGGTTGTAGGAAGTGGGAACTGTTACATGTTTCTTCCTGTAGTCTAGAACAAAGTTTGAGGAGGGCAGCGGCACAATTGCATGGTAGATTGTTTTTGTAAACTTAAACAGTCAAATCCTAATTGAAAATTACTTCCATGGTTCTATTTTTCCCATCTTATCTTGTAAAAAAGGCTGCTATTGTTAATGTGTTAATGCATTTTCTGTGTGTGTATACAGAAGGATTCTGAGGCTTGTAGACTCTGTCCAAATATAGAACCTCAGCTTTTTTTGTTGATATTAGGCTGTGGACAAGATAAGGCAGATAATTTTTGCTTCAGTCTTTAGCTCTTAAAGGCAACAAAGTTATGGAGCAGCAAGCATAACGGTAAGAAGCACTTGTGAGTATTCGCAACTGCCCTGTGTTCTATGAATGCCCCTGGGGAGGGCAGTTACAGATCATGACATAAAATGGGAAACGATGAAAACCTTCCACACTCTTTGTAAGATCTTGCTTTTACACACCTGCTTGGAAGGTGGCACCCTTAATAAGTTCTTTTCTCCTACTTTGGTACTTGCTACATCAGTTAGATGATCTTCACCTCCTTACAGTTTATATGATAATTTTTGATCTGATCAGCTGCAAGCTCTGCAGGGAAAATACAAAGCATTCAGTCAAATGAAAAAGTTCTAACAAGGCTATGATAATTTATCATCAATGGTCAAATCCTGTATTTGGTTAAAAGCTAAAATTTAAAACAATAAAAAGGTGAAACTTTTTTCTTGAATGGTTGTGATATAAACAGTAAAAGAAAGATAGTACATCTTATGAGACAAATGGAAATGCCACTAAGAACAATCCTTCTAGAGCACCTTCATAGCAACATTAATGTACAAGAGGCTTCTGAAAAGCTGCTGCTTCTCCATTTCAGATGCTTCAGGCTATAGACTAGACTAGAGCATATGGTCCTATGCAGCCACGGCAAGAAAACATACCAAGAGGTGGAGGGGATCATAGTTTTATCCACTGCTTTGTTTTAGAAGGCTGGGATCCTTAAAACTGCTAAACAGATGTGAAACTGTGTCTTGCATGTCTATGCATCTGCTGTTACCTACAAACTCATGAGACTTCACATATGAAATGTTTTGCTGTTCTTTTAAAAATTCTTCTGTTGGTTCATTTTTGTGACGAAATGTGATCATTTGTATGCAATGATAGAAATGAATGCAGCAGAGTGACATTATTAGTAACTGCCAATGTCCATGACCAGGTTATTTTGAAAAGATGCTTTCCTTTTGTGGTTATATTGGGGAAGAGGTTGCAATCTGGATTAGAAATAAAGAATAGCCAGAATTGGTGCAAGATGCCACCTTGTGATGGGCTTCCTTTCGTCTTTTCCTTAGGTCTGGATAGATGCTGGGACACAGATCTTCTTCTCCTATGCAATCTGCTTAGGTGCAATGACTTCCTTGGGGAGCTACAATAAATACAAATACAACTGCTATAGGCAAGTTTCCTACCAAAGGGGTTTTAGTGTGTTAGCTAATTGATGTGTAGGGAACCATGGGTTCAATTTTTTTCTTCAATTAACTTCCTCCATGACATATGTGTGACTTAGGGACTGTTTGCTGCTGGGATGCCTGAACAGTGGTACCAGTTTTGTGTCTGGCTTCGCAATTTTTTCCGTCCTGGGCTTCATGGCACAAGAGCAAGGGGTGGACATTGCTGATGTGGCAGAGTCAGGTACGATGGTGTTGGTGGCAGTGATGGTGGGCACTGCCACCCAGTGTGTGAGCAAAGTACTGCAGAATAACGCAGCCCAAAGAGGAGAGAGATTTTGGAAATTAAAAAAGAAAAATACAGTATTTCAGGGAACAAATTAAGTCTAGTGATTTCAACGAGCGTGACAGTTCAAAAGACATACTTTCAAAAAGCTGAAATATAAAATGGATTTGTTAAACAAAAACAGCACTCAAAACTGAGTTAAGAGTACATGTAATTTGTAAAGATGGAAATCCTTCCGGCCCCACTCGCCTCCAAGTGGTTACTTTCCCTGTCCTTCAATCAATTTCCAAACAGTCATGGTTTCTGGAAAAATAGACCCACCATATTCGCTCAAGAGATGATAGCTGTGCTAGAAAATGTCTGCTTTTGTTATTGCAGTGTGTGTATTTTAGAGAAGAATGGGCACTGATGAAGCCAATGCTATCTGTAACAAGGATGCTTGGCAACCGGTGGGAGAGAGAGCTGGAGGCTCCTCTCTCAGCCTTCCAGTGCCCCTAGTTCATGGACAGTTCCTCAGATCAGTGGCCCAAATTCCATACTTGCACAGCTGTGTGCGGGAAACAAGTGTGGATTTTGCCCTATATGCCTAGGGATAATTTTTGTAGTATTGTGCTTGGAAAAGAACTGCATGTGTACTGAAAGGATAGTATATCCCTAACTCCATTGCTTTTGAAGAAAGCATGCAAGTTATTTGGACCGTCCTTGTGGCACCTGAACAAATGAAGGAACTTCAGGGTGTTAGGCTCAGGCATGCTAGACCAGATCCTTGCATATTGCAGCCTGTATCAGCCGACTGAAAACTGTAGCACTAAGACTGTTTGGCAGCATTGTCTCCAACTGATTACAGTGGCTTGTAAATAGTGTCCCGTGGAATCCCAGACATTTCTGTTGGCCATAACCGTGATTGCCCAAGGTAGACATCTCATTTTCCATGTGGCTGCCCACTTGGGAAGTCTAACCCAAGGCCCAATATGTACCTCAGCATCAGGAGTGAAGCTGTTAAAAGGATGTGCCTACCCTGACGGTGCGCACCCAGCACTGCACACAGAGGCTACCCAAGTGGGCTCTGGGGCAGCGGGGAAACGTGCTCCCTGATTTCAGTGCCATATTGTCAACAGGTTTTTCTTCCTGTGGTGCCATTTTAATGATAGGGAGCAATGCCACTGGAGGTTTGCATTTTCTCTCAATTCCTTTAAAAATACAATGTTTCTCCAGGCAGAGGAAGAAAAATGAGGTTGCTGGGAATGGCAATTAACATATCTTAACTTCCTGGCACATAAACCTGTATGTTTGGAATCCAAATTATTTTGGCCAGAATCCAAAACAGTTAGGCTTGCTTAGCTCTATTGATTTCAGTCAGCTTGAGCATTGTTAAGGCTGCATCCTATGCACACTTACTTGGGAGTAAGCAATACTGAACACAGTGGGACAGGTTTCTCATAACCTACTCAAGTCCCATTGATTTTAATGGGTTTACTCTAAGCATGACTACATTTATATCCAACCCAGTAAGTCTTACTTCTGCCTAAATGGGGATGCATAGGATTTTGCTGCGTGTCTGGTGTGAAATAGTAGCAATTAGATCTAAATTTTGCATGCCTTATTCATGTCTTATTACCCTCTGAGGGCAATTATCATGAAAGGTATCAAAGCTTGATTTGAATTACATTAACTCAGGAGTCAAACCTGTTTCAGTATATGCATATAAGATTTCAGTGTATGAAATCTATTCAGACTAATCTATACATGAATAAACAAATAGATAATAAGGTACTTGTTGAGACTGAGTTCCTTGGGCCTTGTGAGAGAGCTTGGCAGAAACTGCATAACTTGAGGGATGAACCCAGAACATTAATACCTTATGACTCTGATCCATCAGTGTATGCACAAAACCATCTGGTGTTGCAAGTTGAGTCTTTTTGAAAAGCTAAAATATTTAGAGTAAAATTCCTTGGCATAAAGGGGGAATTGTTTTGGACTGGATTCAGTTCTCTCCTTTCTTTCCTGAAGGGCTAACTGGTGGGATTTTCGCTTTTTAAAAAAGCTTCTGTGCATGCAGACCCTGCTGTTGGATCAGAGAAGTGCATAATGTGCATGAGATCTATAGGCCCATGTGGTTCCACATCAGACCAGAGATGCTTATAGTGAGCATTGTCTACAAACGGCTACAATCCAGGGAAAGTTAGTTGGACTTAATTTCCTTTGAAATCTATGGGCCTGGTTAATCATAGCTAGCAGAAGCCCCATTAATTTCAATGGGACACATACAGCTAACTTTTAGGATTGGGGTATTTACTTCTTTTTATCTTTGTTGTACCTTTCTGCCTCCTTCCCATTTTGTTAAATGAAATGGAACATGGACAGCAGCAAAAGCATTTGCAGTGAGTAACCCAAGTGTTTATCCTTGGAGAGAATGCTCTTGCTGTACTTTGCAATAGGTGGGGGGGGGGGGGGAACCTACCAAAGCGACTCTGGAACATTCCAGCACTTCAATGTACTTTTCTTTAAAGCTTGCATGAAACTGTTGACGCAACATTTCTCTGTTATGCTCAAAACATCTAAAAATAAATAATAGCATCTTTCAGCTCCTTAACAACTTTACAACTCTTCCTTTGCCTGAATAAGCGGCACCAATATTAAATAAGAATTATCTCATTGCAGTGCATGAATGTTGTGTGCCATAGAGGTGAGCTTGGTTTTGAATTCTAGTGGCTCACCCAGAGAGAAGATATGGGACAATCTGTGACTGCCTTGGCTATGGATAATTCTGGTTGGAGGGACAATAGTCTTGTTTTGGTCAACCGATTTTCAGAATTCATGGCTGTTGCTTTGTATCATAAGTGAAGGCTGTCTAGTGACTGCGCAAGCTGCAAATGGGTTTGTTAAGGCCACACTGGAGTATGCCACATTTAGCATAATGTGGCTACCGGTCCTACCAGAGGAGAGAACTGTTGGCCAATCATTCAGGTCATCAGTTATTCCAGTGGGAATGATTAAGCCACTACCTTTGTTGCTGCATGTAGAGACTATTTTGTTGGCCTTGCTGGAATAATGGTGGCCTACACCAGCTCTGCATTTGGCTTGCTGAATAGAAGACCAAAGCCAGCCTGGTACCCTCCAAAGGTTTTGGGCCACAGGTCCTAGGATTCCCAGCCATTGGTCATGCTGGTTGGGGCTGCTGGGAGCTGAAGTCTAAAATGTCTGGAGAGTACCAGTTGAGGGAAGACTGCTCTAGAAGCTCCTGTGTTGATTGTGTCTGCCCAAGAACGGGCTGAAAGTTTCAGAATTCAAGAGAGAAAGTGAAGCACTGCTTTTCTCTCTCTCTCTCCTTAAAAACCATAGAAATTGGTTACACTATAGTTATATTGCACTTAGTCCAGAAGCTCAGTAGCCCCTCTTCCCTTTCTTTGTGATTGATATGTTTAGACCTGGACCTGTGGTTGGCATGCCTGAGACAGATGGTGAGGTTGACAATGGATAAGCAATTATGCTTGGATGTTTTCACTGGAGCTCTATTGTAGCTATGCATGCTTCTTTGTCAGATAAAGGATCCGAGTGAATTCCGTTGTGGAATCTTCAGTTGGGTTTGGGTTTATCTGAATGGAACCAGGCATTGGTAGTGGGGAGGGGGGTCTTGCATTAAAAAAGAGCTGCTTATTTACTACATCTTCTCCCTTTCCCCCCTTCCTTTCTCTCTCCCTTTCTTCCTCTAGGTCCAGGCCTGGCCTTTATTGCCTATCCAAAAGCTGTGTCCATGATGCCACTCCCAACTTTTTGGGCTATTCTTTTTTTTATTATGCTTCTGTTGCTTGGCCTGGACAGCCAGGTGAGTAATTCTGGTGAGAGCATGGTGTCATAGTGTGCAGTAGAAAACCTACAGCAGAACTAGAGTTTGTTGAATTTTCTGCTCTGATGCAAAGCTGTCCTAAAGATTGCAGGAAAAAGCAACCTTGTGCTTTTCCCTCGATCTCTCTAGCAGGGAACGAATAACCAGAAAAGGTGTCCAGATGTTGTTCTTTGCGTATTTCCTGGCATAGAGTTCCTATGTAGGTTGCATGGCTTAAATACCTTTTATTTAAAGGGTACAATATATTTGGCATCTTGTCCGCAAATCTGCTTACAAATAAGAGCAGCAAAAAATGGATGCCAGCACCAAAACAGCAAGGATCTCAAGAGCTTATCGGAACGGTGTTTTCACAACTGGAGGTGAAGGAATTGGTTAGAATATGAAGCTGTATTGCCAAGTTTAGTTGGCGACACATTCAAAACACATTTATGTGTTCTTTTTTTCCCCTATGTGTCCCTTGCGTCAGAGATACAGAAGATTTCCCCCTTATGGGCCATGTTTCCATGGGGCTAAGGTTCCAGGGACAGCTTTCCAGTGGCAGATGTGGCCAAAGCTGCATGCAGTTTCCATTCACACGGAAGTTCCTGAGAGAGCGGGCTTCCATCCTCTCCTTTTCTCAAGGGATTGGGCTTCAGAGAGGAAGGAGGGCTTTGTCTGGGCCTTGGCTGGCCCAGTTGGGGAAGCCTGGCAGGCCACTGTTAAGCCCAGGGTTCACTATTGTTCCCACACATACAGACATATTTTAAAGTTGCCATATCCCATATTTCTTCTAAAAAGAGCAGACAATCTTCCATGCAGGTGATGTCCAGGTCTGACCTGCTAAGATTCAGAAATGGACTTAGATGAGGGTCTTTTGGATTGCTCTGTGGACATGTACATTAAACACACACACATGTTCTCCTTGCCCACAGCAAACAACCAGTTAGTTGAGGTCATGTCTCAGATGACCAAAGGTAGAACTTACTGGTTCAGGCAGAAGAGAGGGAGACCGTCCTGTTTGTTTCTCGTGCTTGGCAAACCCCACTGCCCATTTCCTACCTCTCTTCTGTTTAAGCTCTATATTTGCCAGGCGTGGCACATAGATAAAATGAGGGCAAAATTAAGTAGGGTGGTGATGGTGGGGAAAAATGGCAAGAGCCCATCTGGGGCCTGTTAACCTGAAGTTGCTCTTTGCTTATTTAGTCCTTTGAAATTAAATGGTGCTTTATTCAATCAGTCGGTTTTGACATACGTTAACATGCTCCAAATGCACTGTATTGCAGCTAACTGGGTTACGTAGCGGCTTGGGTTTTATGCAATGCGAATCCTATTTACTCAGCCCAATTTGACTGAATAGGAAATAAGTTAGACTAATATTGGGGATAACGTTTTGTGCCTAATTAAGGAAAAAATGAAGCCACCCTTTGATGTTGGCTTCTAAGGAACTGAGCACCCTCACATGTATCGCCTTTTCATTTTAGAAGGTTTTCTTTTAGAGTTCAGCACCTTTCAAAACAATGCCATTCTTTCTGAATCCAAATTCTGTGTTGCTTGTTGCATAATTGGACCGATTGTGCGGTACACATAGTTGTTCCCAAGGAAAATGGTGGGTTTGCTTCTTTCCCATCTCTGCAAGACCTCTTTGTGTGACTGGAAGAAATCTGCTAATAATTTCTAGATAATTGCTAGTTGCACAACCGAGGGGCCCTTTTTTGAGGTGATTTAACTTTTTAAACTAACAAGTTTCTATTTTTTTTCCTTGGGAAAATAGTTTTGATGTTAAATAAATCTACTTGACAGGGGCAAACAGTTTACTCAATTCAAAACCTCTCATATGAGCAGAGATTAGTGGAATTTTCCCTCTGGTTGTTACTCACTTGATCTCTTAAACTGGCAAAGCATTCCATTTGTTCTAAATGGCTCTTTAGTGCTTAATCTTTGAACTCCAGTGAGTGACTTTTAATCACTTCCAAATTGAATGTTAAAACATGCTCAAAGCTGTGGTCCTGCAACCAAGTACTTATGTAAATTGAAGGTTGCCTGGTAATTTTAAGTCATTTCTCACTGTGTCAAATAATTAAAACTAATTGGAGCACTTAATGTTTTGTTTTCGTTTGGAGCTCTGTCAAGCAGGATTTTGGAATGCTTGAGCAGCTTAGAAGCAAGCTGGACTATAGTTACATTGCAACAGAAAAAGAAAACAAGCACAAGTGTTTATTGAAGGCTCTCAGTTGAGCGAGGATTTTAAATAAAGTAACTTAGAGGTTAGTCATACAGACCTAGGTACTAGTCTAGCCACTGCTCATTAATGGAAGTAAATATGCTGTTTAACATGCGTAAAAAGTTCCTTTCCATTTTTTATGAACAGATCGGTGAATACATAGGTCTTCCCAAACACAGGACCCTCCACATATCTTGGACTAGAACTCCCATAATTCCTAGCAAGTATGGCTAGACATGCTGCGTGGAGATTATAGGAGTGGTCATAGGCCATGGACTTTTGCTAAGATAGAGAAGCATTTCACACATACTTACATGTTGCATTAGAAGGCAGGTACTGACTTCTTCGCAAAAGACCGATTTAAGTCAGCGGCACTGGGCTTCTTTCAGCAAAAGTGCCGAATACGGTGTTCGTATGAAACATGGAGCGTTGGGCAGTGTTCACTGGCAGGTGGGCTGAACGGAAAGGGGACAGGATGAAATTATATTAGCATAGTTTAATGTAAAGCTCTTACTGCATGTGATCAGCTAAACCTTAGGAGCGGCTTTCACTATTTTAGAATGAGGGAAAAACAGCACAACACAGGAAACTATCCAGTAATCCATCACTGGAGGAAAGGGAGTAGGGCCAGGGAAAGTGGGGTGGCCATGTGGGAAGCCCTGGAAGTCTTACTAGAATTCCATGCGAGCCAGACTGGCCCCTGGACTAGGGTTGTGCAACGTTATTTTAAGGGAATGTGATTTTTTTTTGCTGTGCTTGATTTTAAATGGTTCTTTTATACTTGCTGGCAAGTCATCGCTCAGCACTGTAGTCATCAAGTGATGGGTATGCATGGCAATTGCTTACCTAGTAAAGACCCTCAGACCCAGGCTTTTCGGCTTTGCAGAGCCCATTCCTCAGCTGACAGCTGCGCTGGAGGAGCCCCAGTGGCTGCTCTCTTGCTGTGGCCAATGCAGCGGTGGGAGAACGGCTGGCAGGAATCTCCCTTGCAGCAGCTGGAGGCAGTAGCCAAGGGGGAGAGTCAGAATTCATTGCTCTACCCACTGGGCCTCCTGAGTTTGGGGTTTTACCTGGCTTCATTGGAGGGCCAGCCCTGTTAATTATAATAATAAAACAGGTATATTTATAAATCAAAACTGAATGGGAATGGATAAAAAGGCCTGGGGAAATCGAAAGGTTTTCAACTGGCAACCAAATGATATCAAGGTAGGGGCCAGGGGAGCCTCTCTAGAGTGGGCATTCCCTAACCATGATGTCACAGCTGAAAACACCTTTCGGGGGCACCTGGGGAAGGGGTCAGGCAAGGAGATTTAAGGATCCCAAGCCATGAAGGATTGAGGAATTAAATACAGCACTTGGAAGGGGTCCAGAATCAAAGTGGGAGCAGGCAAAGCACCAGCATGGCTCTTGCCACCCATTCCCAGTTGGCAATATTGTTTCTGTGTTCTGAATTGAGTTTTCTAGACTTCTCTCAAAAGCAGATCCACCTGCATCTCACTGCAGTAGCTCAAGTATAGCCAAATAATCATCATAATTAGCAAATTAGAAAAGAAAAAGAGAATCACAGAGGTGGCTTGTTTCTAGGCTTCCTTTGTTTTTTCTTTCATGAAGATTTTTACTTTCCTAATAAGGTGATCCATTCTCAGGGGTTGTTCTCCTTGGTATTTAGGTTATTTTAGGTTGTCCATTACAGGAATGCCAGGACAGGATTAATAAAGTGTCTCAGTGTTTCTTTATCCCATTTTTGCTAGTTTGCTATGAAAATAGCATCTTACAAAAGAGTCACATGTGCATTTTCTGTACCCCTATGAATATCCTTCTGTTGTAGCTTGGTGTAGTTTGAGCTATATTACCAATAGCAGGATTGTATGGGAATAAGGGTGGCGTGTATAGAGCTTCCATTCCTGGGCTGCCCTGGCATATGCTAAAGAGAAAGGAGTAGAAAAAGCACAGTAAGAAGCTCACATAGCTATCTCCGTAGGCAGATGTTTTGCCAGCAGGAAGAAATTATCAAGCCCTTAGCTTTTAAAGTACCTATGAACTGCATTTTTCCTTTAAAGAAGTGGATTGTTTTCTTTTAATTTTGACTGTCTATTTCATGAAACGCATGCATCATGCCACTACTTTCTATTTTATATTCCCAATTTCCTTTTCCTTTGATATCCATGTGCCTTTGATATCCCTTTGCTTTGATATCTAAGCATAGGGTTAGTTTATTTTTTAAAATGGAGGTGGGGAGCGGAAGGATCTGGAAACATTTTGAGAACAAGACCCAAACTGAGCATCTACCATGTATCGTAGCCTTGCCTAGTGAAAAGGTTCTGTAAGTGAATAGGTTAGACCCCTCTGTTGAAAGTGTTGGCATTGTTTCTTAAAGTAGCGTGCCTTTTAAAAGAATGAAACACATACCTGTACATGGTGTTAGCTCAGTGACATTTTTCTTTTCCTCTTCTTAGTGACTTTTTTTCCTTCTTCCTTCCTCTCCAGTTTGTTGAAGTTGAAGGACAGATCACATCTTTAGTTGATCTGTACCCATCCTTCCTAAGGAAGGGTTACCGACGGGAAATCTTCATCGCTATAATATGTTTCCTCAGCTATCTTCTAGGACTAACTATGGTGACTGAAGTAAGTACGAACTGTCAGATTTACTTTGCTTTGAGGTTTGGCACAAGGTCAAGTTACAATGAGAAGAAAAGATCCTAACTTAGGGGTGGAGCAGATGCATGGCATGAAGAAGGTCCCAGCTCCACTTCTTGAGATTTCCAATTGAAAAGATCAGGATGAAGGCCTCTCCCCCTCCACACACACATATATATATATGGCTTTTTTTGTCATACAACGCACCGGAACGGCGTTCTGGCACCTTTTTTTGACGGATTTTTCCAAGTGATTGTGAATCGCCCTATTGGACGTAGCAGATCGGCGGCAGAAATCATTAACATAGTGCCTGCGGGCTGCTTGTGTGTCGGCGCTGATTGTGAGGGCACTGCTCGGCTTGGGACGCTGCTCGACTTGGGATCAGTCGTGTGGTCGCGTGCTGAGTGCTTACTGCCAGCAGTGACCAGTGTGTAAAAGTGTGACCCCGAGACATGAGTTCCGGCACCTTTTTTTTTTTTTTTTTACAAAAAAAGCACTATATATAAATATGTGCGCGCGCGTGTGTGTGTGTGTATCCATCCATCCATCCATCCACCCACCCACCCACCTCTCTCTGAGAGGCTGAAGAGTCCCTGCCAGCTGCAACATACTGGGCTAAATAGACAACTAGCTGGAGAACTGCTATGTACAAATCTCTTGTTCCTTTGAGTTTAACACAGGGTATCAGTGGAGGGCTGTGTCAGTTTCATCTCTGAGTGTGGTGTGCCCTTTTTATCCAGCACCGCACAACTCTCTGTCCTGAAGGTTTATGTGCTCAGGTGTGAAGGACATGGTATTCTATTATGCTGCAGATATACATGAGGCAAAGTTGGTCAGATGTAAAGCAGGAGGGAACATTGTGTCCAGATTGCAATTTATCCCATGGCATTGAGAGTTTGATAGCAGAATTTTCTAGAAGATCCATATTATGCACAAGATGAAAGAAAAGTCGTGCTAAGAGAGAGAGATACACCAGCCCAAACATAAGTTCCTTGGGAGCTTTAAATTACTTATATTGGTCACATTATAGCAATTTCTGTTTTAGGACCAACATGTTTCTATACATTTCCATCCTAAAATATCCTTTAGGAAGCAAATACTTTAGTGTTCAAGTAGATTAAACTAAGTAGCTTAATTCTGATCAATCATCACCTTTTTGAAAATGCTTCCTGTAAAGAAGAAAGCAGGTTCTAAAGAGAACAACACTGTTCTTAAAAATTCCCAGAGTTGATTGGCACTTCTATTTGCCGACGGGTAATTTTCTGCAGAGTGAGTCATAGCTGAGAAGGATAGTGATGAAGGTCAGCTTGCTTTTCACACTTTCTTTTGTGCTGATGCATTAATAGCACTCATGTAATGATGCACCTGAGGAAGCGCGCAGCATCCATGAAAGCTTATGGCATGATTAAACTTTTTCAGGATCCACAGAATTCTTACAGAGATTATTTAAAATAGTACTCATTTTTCTTTTCTCTTTGTCTTTTTCTCTCTCAGGGTGGCATGTATGTGTTTCAACTCTTTGACTACTATGCAGCTAGTGGTGTATGCCTTTTGTGGGTTGCATTCTTTGAATGCATTGCTGTAGCCTGGGTTTATGGTGAGTACATTGTAATGCTCTGGGCTGCTACCTTCCCTACTGAAATGACCAAAACTGCCAGGCTGAGCAAGAGGAGGAGGTCCCTGGGCACCAGTCTGTTAGGAGAGGAGAGGAGAGGAGAGGAGAGGAGAGGAGAGGAGAGGAGAGGGTTAAAGCAAGAGACAAAGTCGCAGAGTGCTTTCTTTACTTGGCTTCCCTCAGTCCCAGCCAGGAACTTGACTGTGAACATTCTCTACTTCCCTTTTTAGATATTTTGCAAGCCACTTTGTTAAAAGCAGGAGGTAAATCTGTAAAATAAAGAGCAACTGTGTGTGCATAGATCCCACTGACGGGTGGCTGCTGTGAAAACTCTAGTCTGAGTGTTGCCTGGTCCTCACGGTTTAAGGCTGTAACCTACCAGAGGCCATGTGCTTTCTGGATGAAGAGCTGACAAGACCTCGACTCCTCTACCTAACGTTCCAATATTTGCATCTAAGTGCAGTGAAACCCTGAGCTAACTGGATGTCAAACATGACGTGACAGCCCAAGGGCACACAGTCCCTGAGCAAACAAGTCAGAAGCACACATAAGTGAATGCTCCTTGGAAATAGGAACCTTTTCTCATTCATGTGGCACAGCGAGAATGTTGGAAGCCACACCTTAATGCAGCCACAAGCTGTCTTTGCCACACGACCCAGTGAGATGCGTAGCTTTCCATTTGTTTCTGTAGACCATAACTGGCAGATAGCAAAGTTACTGCTACTGATTTTCCTGCAAAGGTCAGCTTCAATCATAGTTTTAAATACAGAGTAAAGTTTGCACTTGAAAGAAGTAATTTTGGGGCAAGCTCAGCTAAAGCAGAGGCCATTAAGTTTTTGGAACAAGTTAGTGGGTGCCTAAAACTGCACCCTCTCTTCCAGCACTTTTTCAGGGGGGCTTTGAAAAGGACATGCAAGTCAGAGGAAGTGAATGCAACCCCACAGCGTCAGCCACTAAGCCAGCATAGCTCTTTGCCATGCCGTTCCGTAGCAGTGAAATCAATGTAGAGCAGTGTCAACCTGGAGATAGATAGCTTGCAGTGCACTTCTGTATGTGATCTGAGGCTAATGTTGTCTGTGCCCATTCTGATGCAGTTACAGCTGGATCAGAGTTTCAGGAAGCTTTGTTAGTCATCACTGATTGCACCACGTAGCCAGTTCTGATGAGCTGCACCATATAGTCATAGAAGAAGCCTCTATAAAAATTACCTAAAGCAGATTGGGAAAAGAGTAGCATAGAACCAAGTGCAAAGAGATGAAAGGCATGAATTATCAGGATGTTTTTCACCTTCTTCCCTAAATGCATTTTGCATTACTTGTGGACTGATAACATTTCCTTCCCCTGTGCTTGAATTCTAGGCGCTGACAATTTTTACGATGCCATTGAAGATATGATTGGTTACCGGCCTGGACCCTGGATGAAATGGAGCTGGATTCTAATCACACCGATTCTCTGTGTGGTGGGTATTGAAAGCTTTGGCTAATGCAGAGCTCAACATATTCCTGGCCTTAGCATTGTGGTTTTCCCTTTTCTCCAAAAAAGGGTGCATGAATTGACCAACAGGATTAAATATGCGTGTTTGGAATATGTGAACACAGTCCAGAATTGCAAGATTGTCAGTGGCTTCCAGTTTGTCTCCAAATCTAAATCAATATGGTCTTTTAGAGCCCTAAATGGAGATGAGTATCTAAAAGATCACCTTTGCTCCTACCTACCAGATCAGATGGTCTCCAGAGACCTGGGTCATCCTGTTTCCTGAAGTGAAGGAACCTTTCTGTGTTGGTGTCCAGCTTACAAAACCCCATGCTCAGACATTCTTGCCTGGTATTTGTTATCTTTTAGAACCAAGTAAAACGTGTTTTGTTTTTAAAAGGGGTGCACAAATACCTTGATACCCCAAAAGGGAATGAGCTTTTGCCAGGAGTCACAGGTGTGCTGGCAAAGCAGTCACCCCATCTTCCCTTTTCCCAAGAGCCTGCCTTTCTGGACAGAGGAAGCCGGAGGCAGCTGTGCTCTGTAGGTCCCCATGCAGCTTGTTTTCATGCAGGAGAGTAACGAAACCTTGCAGGAAACAGATTACTTTCCATCAGAAATACCGTGAATGGCATCATGTAGCCCCTTTCCAGAGTCCTGGGATTCTGGGGTGGTAGTTCTACTTGTGTTCGCCAGTGGAAACCACACAGCCTACCACAGCACGCATATCGGCTCTGCCTTCCTGGTAGACCTTGCGGAAAGAGAGTTGGTCAACAAGTACGGTACACAGGCTCAAGTAGGGCTGGCCAATGAGAATTCAGCTGGGTACTTGCTGTTGTGAGCATTCCCATGTGACTTTCCTAGCACCCCAGAATCTTGCGTACTTTAAGTGGTAGTTGAGACCATATAAACAGTGCTTGGTTTTGTTGTCTTTTCTGTGAGCTGTATTGTTTACAGCTGTCCTTTAGCATAGTGTTTTACTGTGTGTGTTTTTTTTTAATTATTGCAAGCTTCCTTGAGGCTATTTGAAACAAAAGGCAGGATATATCTGTATTCTATAAACATGTTTTCACTTTCTGTACTGTATCAGTGGAAGGCCATAAGCAAGTATGGTTAATGGTAACAGGATGTGATGGGCCTGAGTTGTTAAACAGGGCCAATGTTTTTCATCAGCTTAAACTGCAAAAGAAGAAGTAAAGCCCCACTGAACACAGTAGGACTCACCTCCTGATTGAACATGCATAGGATTGTGTGGCATGGCATGCAACTCACAGCACCGAAGCACCACAAGTTAGCTTTTCACACCTTCTTGCACATCATCACTGTTTTCCACTGGCTATCGTGTGACGCAACACTTTTTTTTAAACCAGGAGAACAAAATTGGAGTAGTCTCCTGCTGGTTTAAAGCTTCTGACAAGCACAATTCTCAGCATGACCTATGCTATAGGTTAGCATAATAGGAAAGCTCTCCTGCATTGTGCAAGTATGCACACATTCGTCTCTAACAGTGTGACTCAAGGAATAGACAAAAGGGAAGGGCAATGTACAGAACCAGAATTAAAGAATGAGATGTGCTTGCTCATCCAGAAAGGGCTTCTATGTTTGGAGGTGGAGAAAACATTCATTCCGTGGCTCCAAACCTTAAACATTCAGTTTCATCTTAGTCCATAGCCTGTTGGACACATAGAGGGAGAGAAAGTGAGGAAGCCGGCCTCTGTGCAGATATAGGGATGTGAAGGGTGCAAGACACACCAAAAATTCAACTTTTAAGGACATTATCTCTTGTCAACTTCATTTTTTTTTGTTTCGGTAAACCACATGCTGATATTATGAATCCATGCAGTAAACACTGTTGATAGGAAAAAGTGATCCTTCCAGCTTGAACTGAAGCTTGCTTTGTTCCTTTCCCTTTTCCCACACAGGGGTGCTTTATCTTTTCTCTGGTCAAGTATAAACCACTGACCTACAACAAGGTGTACATATACCCTGAATGGGCAATTGGCCTGGGCTGGATTCTTGCCCTCTCTTCTATGATTTGCATCCCTTTGGTAATGGTCATCCGCATCATACAGTCAGACGGCTCTCTCATTGAGGTAAGCCTGGGAATGTGTAAAAATGATCGCTGCTCGGCTTTTCTGCTGGCCTTCACTTCCATGATTTCCTGAAGGCTGTTTCACTGCACACATACAGTAAATACATCTGGAAAAGATTATTTCACAAGCACTGTGTCCCAGAGAATTCACAATGCCCTAAAACAGGATGTCATGGACAGTGTTTGTTGATTTATTGCATTTCTGTCCCACCCCACAGCCCACTGGGCTCTCTGGGTGGTTTGCAAATGTAAAAGCATATAATGACAATACAATAATCATATTTAAATAAACAAAAACAATTAAGCAATATAAGCAAGATTGATGACCTGCAGGTAAAATTAATAGCAGCAGATAGAATAAAAAAAGAATTAAAACAGATCTGCCCTTAACTGATGCTCTGAGTTACAGCCAAGCTGGCACGGTCTGCCTGCCCCGTGCCTGCTTGTTTCTTCATGTGGCTTCTGGTGCACCACGATCTCCTGGGACAAAATGCAGGCGTGCAATACAGAGAAAATGTGCAAGCATTTATTATCGTGGCACTGAAATGCCAAGGAACAATAAGTAGGCCAGAATCTTGGGCTCTCACTTGCATGCATTTCTAAAAGAGCAAAAGGTGAATGTTCGATACTTCTACCCTTTACTGGCATATATTTTATTGAACTAGAGTCTCTCCACTTAGGTACAAATACTTGCATCTGAAGGGGTCCTTAGTCTTAATTGCTGTACTGAAATCCTGTTCAGCATGGTTTCAGTCACTGGATTTCAGGATTTCCGTATCCACCAGTACAGTGAAGATACCAGGCACAGAGTTCCCCTGCCTAGCTCCTTGCAGGTGGGCCTTTTCAGCTGTGGCCCCCCAATGGTGCAGCCGCTCCCTACTTCGTTGCCTTTCTCTACCAGGCAAAGGCCTTTTAATTCACCCAGATCTTCTAAAATTATTTTAACTGCTACTTACACCAAACATTTTACTAAGTCTAATGCTGCATTTTAAAATCATATTTGTGTTTTCTGCTGCTGAATTATTTACCTTATTTAAATTTTTTGTCGCTGCTTTTAAAAACAGAACCTTTAAATGTGATTTCCTGTGTGGTTTAATCACCAGTTTTGCTTTTGCTTTATTATGAACATTGCCCCCAAAGCTTCTACTATCGGGTGTCTCATAAACTGGAAGAATTAATGAATAAATAGATGCCAGTCCCCATGTGGCATAACCCTAAGCCTGCCCCTTCCCTTCCTCGAGTGCCCTGTATCATGTACGGTGTGGAAGGACCTGAGAGGAGTCGCTGCAGTGCTGACTTAGAGAGCCACCTGGTGGAAGGCTTACCAACACCCCTGAGTCAAGGAAAACTTCTTAGGATGCAACCCTAGGCATGTTAGATGGGGAGAAGCCCCACAGCTGCAAGTTTCCCCAGTCTGCATGGCTGACTGCTGAATGCTGGGAGTAGGAGGACTCTCTTGGTCCACACTGGCAGAGGTTGCACCCTTCCTTGCCTTAACCTTCTCTTCTGCTTTGTTGTCTCCCAGTCCTTTACACATTGCCCTCCCTCCCAGTAATGAAGGCAGCCCTCTGGCCCAGCCCTCCTGTAGCTCTGAGGGCCATGTGTGGCCCTGCGTGTCCAGGCCGGAACCAGGCAGTGGCTGGAGCAGTCCCTGGAGAGAGATCCTGCCTCAGCTGACCAGATGAACAAGCCAGTAGTTTTGTGATGTGATGTCCCCTACTGGATCAGGCCACAGGCCTGCCCCGTCTAGTATCCCATTTCCCACAGGGAGCACCTGGATGTTGGGCCTCAGCAGTGGGTATTGGGAGAAAAGTTGCCTCTCTTGCCGGAGGTAGCACATAGTTAGCTGGACTAGTAGCCAGGATGGCCTCCTCTCTCCTCTGTGAATTCGTCTAATCCCCTTTCAGAGCCATCCAATGCTGGTAACCATCCCCACACCCTGAGGAAGTGAACTCCGTAGTTTAATTATGCACTGTGTGAAGAAAGACTTCCATTTATCTGGCCTGAATCCACTCCCCTCGCCAGTTTATCTTCTTTGGATGATTTGGAGTTTCAGAATCATCATGGGTTCTATTAGGAAAGGGGGGAAATTTATTTTTTTTCACATCATGCATGATTATATCTGCCTCTATCATGTTCCGTTTTACTCAACTTTTTTTCTAAGCAAAATAGCCCCAGACCATGTGACTATTCCTCATAGGGGAGTTGCTGTAAGCCTTTGATCATGTTGGTTTCAGCACCATTTCTAGCTCTGCAGCAGCCTTTCTGAGAAACAGTGAACTGAACTTCGTACAGTTTTCCCAGATTCGGTTGCACTCTTTTAAGTGGTGTAGCTCGGTGATTTTGAACCGTGGCCTTAATGGTCTTGGGAGATCAAGATCCCTTTAAGCAGTGATATGTATCACTTCGGCTGCAAACTGCACAATTAACATTCCCCCCCCCCCCCACACACACACACTCTATGCTTTACAGCTGCTTTTGTGGGCCTGATACGTTAAAGCAAACAAGAGAGTTTGCCAATTCTGATAAAAGCAACCTTGTCAGGGCAGATGTAGTTTCTCATTTGACATGCACTTAAATCCTGGCAACGGGATTAAAGTTTAGTTTGTTTCTGCTGCCCTGATGTTAAATGCATTTACTAGGGAACTGGTGAAAGAAAACCACGTTGTGGAAAAGGGTGGTAGGTAAGTAAAGCAAGCACAGCTGAACAGCCACCTGTAGCTGTGTGCATGTCTGGCTGGCTGCTGCCAGGCTAGGAATATCCTGCAAGGAAGCCTGTTGGTTGCTCCCTGCCATCTGATGTGCTGAGGGAGGCCATTGGCTGGTGAGGCTGGACTAGGGGCTGCAGACACGGCCCCGGCTGCTCTACCACCCAGACTGATAGACCGGCTTTCCAGCACAGGCTGCATCATCCTGGAACCTTCCCCTAAAGGTGCCTTGCATGGAAGTGGCCTTTTTCACCCCTCAGCCCCGTCAGCTGGGAACCCCATCGACGTCCGTCTCAAGCCTGGGATGGTTTGCATGGGAGTGGGGGGCAAGCATAACCCAGTTGCACCCAAGCTGCCTCTGAGCACAGCGTGTGGCTTTGTCTCCCCAGCGAGTGAAGGCCGTGGCTGCCCCCCGCGAGATGACCCAGTGGAACAAAGAGACGGAGAGCGCCGCCCCATTCTGCCCCCCCGGGATGGCCAACGGGGAACTGATCAAGCCAACTCATATCATCGTGGAGACAATGATGTGAGCTCTCTCTGTGAGAGGAAGATGCCTGCTTTGAAACTGCTGTTTACTAACCATAGAATCTCTCATAGGACCAGGTTTACAGAGCTTTATATTTGCACTAGGATTTATTTTTATTTCTCACAGAGAAAGTTATTTTTTGTGTGTTTGGTTTTTATTTTTTAATATTTTGTAAGGTAAATCACAGCGGTTGCCTCTTGCTCTCTTTCGAGGCAGAGCTTTCATATCAGACTAGGCACACTGCAGGAATTTACGACTTCCCCCACACACAACATATCCAATTAACTCCTATCCGTAACACCACCTTGCCACTTTGTGTTGATTTTCTTGCCAGCAATACACACAGGCTGCAATCTTATGCACACTTACTCGGAAGGACGCCCCGCTGCTCCAGTGGAAGCTGCTTCTGAGTAAATATATATATAGGATTGCACCGAAACACACTTATCTAAATATATGCATATACAAGCCTCAGATTTCTTTAGGTGCTGGTGTGGTTGGGAACAGGGTAAAACAAACAGTTGCAAAATGCAAGCCTCTCACTGGAGAAAATGGCTTTTGTATAATGTGTATGTTGTTTTTAAGAAACTTGCTCTGGTTGAAGTGGGGAGAAGCAAAACGGCTGTGATGTGGGCTGTGGTCCATGCAAGAATGTGTGTGTACGTTTAATTGGAATCGCTGCAATATGGGGCAGGAACTGGGAGCAGTGTGGAATCGAGGGAGCAACCCAGGCAGCAGCCATCTCTGGGCACCTTCCGGCCTGAGCATGCTGCAAGGAAGACGCGGGGTGGTGCTGGCTTACGAGACGCTCTGCCTGAAAGTGCCTCCTGGGGCAGGGAGGGACTGCTTCCTCCCCCAGAGGTCGCAGCAGACGCCTGGCCTCATAAGGCCACATGGGAGGAGCTTCTGTGTAGACTTCAGGGAAAGTCATGGGTACTGTTGCGTTGATCTACTGTTGATGCCATGGAAGGGTTTCTCCAGAACCAAGTAGGGGCCCAAGCCCTTCTGACATGATGCTAAGACACGAGTGACTCGCCAGATCAGGCAAAATGGCTGAGCAGCACGATGCAGGGAGGGGAGCGGCCTGTTCCCTGTATATGAAGTGCTTTTTGACTAGGTTTCTCTTAGAGCATTAAGCTGATGTCAAAAAGCGTGTATTACGGTCATGCTGCAAAAGTGCTGTGCAATTCTAAAGTCTGCCAAAATGTATCGTTATCAGGACACAAAAAGGAGTGTTGGGCTTATATCGCCAAAGTCAGGTCAGTTGCATTGCGCTCAGCTCAGAATCAAAGAGGGCCGCTAGAAGCGCTCGTCAAGCTACTGCCAGAGACACTGAGAAGACTCTCAGCGAAGAATGAAAGAAAGACAGTATGTAGCTGTAGAGCCTAATATTCACAGACAGAATCAACACAGTTATCATTCAGAAAGGAGAAAGCACAAGGAGATGAAGTCAGCTACCAAAGCCTGCCTTCTTTCTTTCGATGAGGCATGAAACACCTGCACAAGATTTTCATCAGCAAATTAAATATTAAGAACTTTCCCACTTTCTTCAGATACTGTAGAAGGATTTGCTTCTAGAAAACTGACCTCAAGTTTGACAAAGCCCTGTTTTTATTATCCTGCATATTCAATGCTGGATAAAGCCTTTAGTCTCTGTTATATGGGCATTGCTCTTTTTGAATGCCCCTTTTAATTTATTATTGCAGTAAAACTTTAGGTAGGAGTATAAGCCAGACACAGCAGCAAAGCCTTTACCTATGTGAGTATAGCCAGTTTAGTCTGTCAGTGACAGATACTGTAGCTTAAACTGGAACCTAGCCAGTATTTAAAAACATTCCTAAATGCATCTTTTTAAAACAAGAAAAACTTAAGAAACTATGTGCAGCCTACACTTTCAGTGGCCATCGCATATTGGTTATGCACAAGCTTGCTAAGGCAATTCAGTTTTTATATATAATGGAAAGAACAACTTTAAATAAAAAGGACCAAAGCACAGCTATTCCGAGTGTCTTGTATAGCTCATGTTTTGTTGTAGGTAGAGTGTGTGACTTATTTCTGTAAGGGAAAGGAGCCTGCTGTCAACCTGGGTGGCTGAAGTCTGGATGCTTCCGTCTGCCAGTTATTATCCCACTGTGAGAGGATGCAGACTATACAGTGACAAGAGGGTGGCATCGTCAGATCCTGCCCTTTTAGAAATGGTTATCTCCTTGCTGCATAATGGCTAATGAGAAGATTGAAACAGTAAGAAGTCTGAGGGGACCCTGCTGTTCTCCTTACACTGTGTGCGCTTTGCCAGACTCTCTAGCCTAAACTCTACTGTAACCCAGAGCAAGATTCCAGTTTTAATGCCACAAAGCGCAGGGCGGCAGACTCACGTTACTGAAAGGCAGTGAGGAGATGATAGGTGAGAGAGCAGTCATAACCATTAATTCTCCTGGTGCATGTTGTGCTACAGATGGTGCAATATTTTGTGGAAGAAATGAGTTCAGGACTTTTAAGGCAGAACAGCTGCTGAGCCAGAAACAGATACCAGCTGTGGGGCACAGAGGATCAGTCCAGCTGAGGAAAAATGGTTGCCCATTTTGAGGTTAAGCTGTGCTGTTTGATTTGGTTACCTCTGTGCTGAAGTGGAAGATTTTTGTTTTTTTAAAGGCATGTACACAATTATTTTAAAACGGGGGCTGGATAACTTGTAGGCTAAACCTTCTAGAAGACCACAACTCCCATCATGCCTCACCACTGGCTGCTGGCTAGAGCAGATGGGGTTGAAGGACAAAATCCCTGGAGGGTCACAAGTTGCCCACCCTGCCTTAAAAAGTACTCTGGCTGGTTCGTTTAACTGAAAAGAGAGGGGCCTGTTGTCATTTAACAGAACGAGGCCCCATACATCTTCCCTGGGTTTTCTGTTGCAAGGAGCACATTTTTCACTTCACACAATATTTGAACATGGAATGTGGTAAATATGAATGTCAACAGTAGATTCTGCCAAATGAAAGGGCAGGGGGTGGGGCGGGTGGGGGTGGGCTGGGGTATGTTGTAAACAGCTGTTTGTATTTTCTACTTATTATTGCAAAGAGACTGATTTTTTCCAATTTACTTTGTAGAATTTTGTGGCCTATTTTATCTGTCATTTGTAACAAAAGTTAAATATTCAGTATTGTGACTAACTGTTGGTGAACTGGCTTGGATATGGGGAGATGTGGGGTGAGGGAGCATGGACTAGCCTAAATGTTTGTTCAGAGAAATAACTGCATTTCAAAAATGGGGTGGTGGGAAAAATGAAATGTGACTTCAATGGTTTGTCAGTTCTGAACAGTGGCGTGCTTTCTAAGATGTGTTCTGAATTTTGATGATGCCCAGAAAAGTTATGAAAAGACCAGTCCGGTTAAAGTCAGTTGAACACACACGTTTCTGTACTCTGAAGGCAGCCTCTGCTTGTCTGATTCTGACCAGAACTGTTTCCAGAGTTAGCTGGAAGTTTGTGTCCTTCTCTTAATCAGCTTTTCTGAAGTGTCAAATCCAGTCCTCATCAGTCCACACGACAAAATGGGAGTTAGTGCATCAGTGAGTCCCAGCTGAGCAGCTGGGCTGCTTGTTGCTTGGGCGGCAACAGCTGCACAGCTGTTGAGGTAGACCTGGTGGAGCTGAGTAGCTAGAGGAGAAGCAGGTTCTGCAGACCTGTGGGAGGAATCCCGGAGCCCTGTTTGGCATAAAAGTATTTTAAGTGCCATCGCATTCAGCGGGGTACAAAGACATAGGTCTGCGTAATATTTCTTACTCTCCAGTTCTGTCCATCAGTCAGTACTGGGAAGGTGTACACTTTTTGCAGCTTGCTTCTGTTGGAAGGAGTTGAGCTGAAAGCCCTTGGTTAACAGATCCTTTCTTGCAAGGGCCTCTTTGAGCCCGTGGCTGCTAAATGCTAAAGGCCTCCTGCACCTCAGACGTGACTCCCATGCTGTACTGGGTAAAGCATGTTGGCTGATGGAACTGGGCTGTGAAGATCAGGCATGCTTTGAAAGACAGCCATGCCCCTACTGAGGCACTACATCTATTTAGTATTGTCTATTACTAAGTTAACTTTTTCTTCTCTGTGGAAGAAGGTGGAGAAGAAAACACTTGCTTTTTATCTCTTTGGAAGATGGACTTTTTTGCCTTGCTTGATTTTCCAAGAATTCTACAGTAGCATAAAAGGACTGGGCTAACTTTCCTGTATGAGAATCCAAAATTCAGATGTTTAGACAGGAGGCAGCTTGGAACCAAATCAAGGTTGAAATGCAGTCGATCCTCAGCGCTCTCAACACAATGGGCCCAATATTTGGTTCAAACACCAGTCCTTGAGCCTTACTAAAGTTTGACCATGGATAGAAGGTGATGCCTTGCATGGAGCATTAAGGAACACTGGCAGCAGGGAGGTTTTTGCAAGTCACCGGGACATGCCTTCTGCAGTCTTGGTCTGCTTCAGTCAAGTGCAGATGCTCATGATACTAATCACTTGGCAGGAAGTATGTCATTTTCGACCAGCACGTGCTGGCTTTATAATTCCATCTTTGACCAGAATTTAGTGTATGCGACCATCTCTGTTGAACAACTTCCATTCTCATCCAAAACTCCTGAGAGTCCAATCTACCATTCAGTTCAGCGCAAGTACTCTGATTTAAGACAGTTATTGACTCCAGTGGTACTGAAGCTGCAGGAGTCCAAGCAGCCATAAGAATACTTATTTGTACATTATTAAAAGGTGAACCCTGCCCCCACAACATACAACATGCATGGCTTTACAGGAAATAAAACATGGCCAATCACTTTAAATAACAACTTAAGCATAAATACCCTTTGGTTTAAAAGAGGGGGAAAATGTAATATAGAAATGTAATAATCCTGGCAATTTGCTTGAGACCTATAGAAGTAGGTCTGAAAATTAGTCTAATGAATTTGGATTTACATTTTTAAAAGAGAAAGAAATCTTCATGGAATAAAATATGGGGAAAGAAAAGGAAAGCCCAGTCTCCTTTTTCTAAAATCATGTTTACATTTTTCACATGTCAAAATATGCTTAATTTCTACCTACTTAGTCAGGGTTTGTCTCAGTTTCACCAGCTACTCAGCCCAGCAGCCTGAACCTAAACATGTTTGCTTGCAAGCAGGACACTGCAAGTTCAATGTAACTTACTTTCTAGTAAGTACATTTAGGCCTGGAGCCTTAAATCTAGTTTTGCTGGGGTTGGGGGTGGAGGTGGGGAGCAGAGGGATATCTAGCTCAGATACAAGTGCTGGAAGCAAAATGGTGTACATACATGCTGAAAAAATCGGCTCTCCTCTTTGGAGAGCCAGGCAGGTTAGCTGAAAAGCTCTCTCTGGAAAAGCAGTCTGCCTGATGAGCTCCCAAAAGACCGACTGATGATCAGCTGCAGGAAATCATTGGAGGAGTTGACACTTCAGCAGCGTTACCTGTCAGCGCGAGTGTGTCTCTTCGAAGGACAGACAGGTGGTAGGAAGCAGACCGAGCAGGGGGGTCTCTCACGAGCCTGGCCCCCCACCCCGGGCAGGCAGTGCGATGCTCTGATACATTCACTGTCGTAATAGAACATTGTTGTGTTGTTGCTGTATTGTGCTGTTGCAGTTTTGAAAGGAATGCAATTCCAGGGGCTTTATGGTTATAAAAAAGACCTCTTTATTCTACTGAAAATGGTGAGCATTTTTAAATTATTATTTACATTCACTATTGTGACTACTGTTTGCAATGAGTAGGCACATGGATTTAAGGGGGCACAGAAGCGTCCTCCTTTTAAAAATAATTTTTAAAATAATTTTTAAAAGGCATTTTAAAGCAATTTGTCATCCTTATTTTTTGGACAGGATTATTTGTAAAGGAGTAAAGATTTGGCGTGTTCTTCATCCCTGAAAATTTGGGGGGTTTTGTGTATACAGTAAATGTTTGTATTTTGCAGTTTTATCTCTTTTGCTTTTTAGATAAAGAAAATGTATATGGATATTTTAAAGTCATTTTTGCTTTTTTAGATGAGTTTGTAATCATCACAACAGACAAAAAAATAATAAAAAACCATTTCCTTTATAAAATGGACAAAGAGTTGTTATTTTTAGCTTCTGTTGATTTACCAGATTAATTTAATTTAAATGAGTAAAAGTTTAGGTGTTCTTCTATTGAGTGCTGCTCTATTAAACTTGTATAATATAGTGAGCAAGGTTTCTGCAACATCCCTCATTTTTAAAACTGATCTGTGAGCCCCTGTGCCCCAGCCAATTACTCAGTTTAGGCTTGCCACACGGCTTGCAATGCCTTGATCCTAACATCCTTAAGGTAGTGTCTGTAGAGTTCAACATCATTTTCTTCCAAGTATTTGTGCACAGGATAAGACCACAGGGCTGTCTGGGCCAGCATTCTGTCCACACTATAGACCACTAGATGCCTCTGGGCAGTCCATGAGCACAGTAGACGTCCCTGCATGTGCTGGCCAGCTTCTGGTCCTCCGGATAGGGGAAACTGGTATAAAAAGAACAATCCACCGGAAAGGAGGGAGGGAGACGTCTCGTGAGGGGAAAGATGTCCACCATGCATCCAGCAAAAGGCAGGATGAGGAGGGGAGTGGCCTCTGGCAATATCATAGGGAAGTGAGGTGCCCTTCGTACAGATGATAACCAGCAACTTGACTAGGCCTTGAAAACTGACCAAGACCCAAAGTGTTGTAACACTGGAAACATAATGGAGCCAGAGACTGAATTTCCAGTGTCCTGGCAGCAACATTCAACACCAGTTATAACCATGTTCAAACATTCTCAGAGGAAGTTTTGTGTTGAGAGCATTGCAATAGTCTAATCTGGATGTGATCAGCTACTGTGTGTGTGACAGTAGCTTAATCTGGTTGAGCCAGGAGTGCCCTCAGGCAAAGCTATGCACAAGTGCTTGTGGCAGCAGAATAGCCATGAGTAAATACCTTGAAGTGATACTCTAGCGTCAAGGCAGAATAGCTAACTATTCCCAGGACCAGCTTCAAATTGAGCAAAGGTCTTGGTTAATTACCAGGTTGTTAGCCCAGAACCAGCTTGCTCCAGATGTTAGTTGAAGTCTTCCCTTGATTCTTGGGAATCACATGGAAAAGCGAGAGTTGAGAGTCCCCTGCATGCTAGGGACCTTGCACACCTTTGTGGTGGGTTATTATAAATAGCAATGATCATGTAGGCCTTAGGAAGGGGGGGGGCAAGATGGAACTGTGGGACAACATTTGCCAAAAGCCAGGAGTGCAACAATGGTCCCCCAGCACCAACCATACACAAAGCTATTACACAGGCCCAGTCCTAGTAAATGGGCACTGTCAACTGTGTCAAAAGTAGCTGGGATGCCCAGCTAAACCAAAGAAGTTCCCACTGTAGGTGTCTGTCTAGAACACGAGCATATTCCTACCCTAATCTTTGCCATCTTTAAGAACCTGAACCCACCACAGAGGTGTTCATTTTGGAGACCGTATTGTGGAAAGAGGCTATTGATGAAGAAACTTCAGGGAAGAATGAAGGTTCTCCTTCTATTGGCAAAGTCTTCATTGCTAGTCTGGCCTTTTCTGTCCCACCCAAGAGAAAGTGCTGTTGTTGATTCTGTGTTTTACCCAAAGGCCATATCAAGTCAGTAGCCAGTTTTCTTTTTATTAGGGGAGAAACAAGGACATTCATAGTCAAAATTAGGGAAATGGACAGCACCTTACATTTCTGCACTGAAAAGCTTTTGCAACAAATCCCAAAGTTCTTTTTGAACTGGAGTGTGGAAGGGGAGAAATTAATTGGCACTTTTGAAGTTCAGAGAGCATCACCTGAAAACTTAAACATGTTGTCTAGGATCACACAATTCTTCCTGGTCTCCCAGGAAGTCCTTGAACAGCCTTGCCTACATGTTTTGCACCAAACTAAGTCAACAAGCATTTCATAATGTACTGGCTTTTACTGCAGGGCAAGCATGCCAACCCTGTTATTTCAGGAGCAGCGTTCACAAAAGCTAGCAAATTACTTTTGTAGGCTGCTGACATGCATTTGCACAAGTCTGCCTTGACAGAGAATAGCCTTCTGCTGCCAAGTACCAAAGCTCTGAAGGTCTTTGGTCTGTTAAAATTCCTACCCCAGAAGAGGGCCAAAGAGCAGAGATAAGGGTTGTTTGTTGGAAGCAAAACTCTTCCCTGTTGAACATTAACCAGGAAACTGGGTCAAGAGAAAGTGGAGAGGGAGTGTGCTCCAACTTCAGAGCTACTGTAAAAAAATACTTTGTTCTGTGCAAATGGCCTCAAAATTCTATACTCCATTTGTGAACAGAGAAAAGTATATATGTGTAGGGGAATTTTATTCAATTTCTCCACATTTACAGAAATTTCTCAGCATGTTCTTGGGTGGCATTCACCATTAGGCGTGGGAGTTACACAGTGTCTTTCTGCCTACATTTTTCTAAGTTTCATGGCAGCCACCATGAAAAAATGATGGAGCATGTTCAAAGAACAGTCTGCAAGGTCATTTTCTAGAGGGTTGGGAGGAGAAATGTCCCAGAAAAATATCTTCCGAGAAAACCCAACTCAATTGTAAAAATAGCCTCACGTATATGGTATTTTTATAATAATAATATTGCATCTAAACATGGAAGGCTTGCATAACTTTATTAGCTTCTCGGAATCATACATTACAGGACCAGGCATGGGCGTCAAAGCCATATTGTGCTTGGCATACCACTGGTGGTAAGGGAATGCCAAGACTTTTAAGAGACCATTATTTTCAATGTTGTGCCAACTTTGGTCTGCGACTCTGTAATGAGCACCTGCAGTGGCAGATTAAAGTGCATGCTTAAGGGTGCAATTCTAAAAGCACTAATCTAGAAGTCTGTCCCACAAACCCCACTTCCAGGTAAACATGCAGAGGATTATAATGTACATCTTTCTGATTCAAATCAATGTAACAATGCTTGTTTTGGCTAGATCAAACCATGGTTATCATTTTTCTCGTGGCAATTCTGAAATTGCATCTAGATACCATTTTCCAGATTCAAGCAGCTAGGACCTCAGTTTCAGTCAGCAGAGATCCCTTTTCACTCAAACTTTTTGAAGAAAACAGCAAGCCTTTTCATTTTGTTTTATTTAATTAAAAAAATCTAATTGCAATACCGTTTAAATACAGAGATTTACAAATAGGTCCAAAACAGGACTAAAATATTCTTTGAATATTTGTGCTTTCATAGATACATAAGAAAATTAGCATAGAAAAATACTTTACAAGGAATACACTCTAATATATGGATAAAAATACACATTTAAGTAATGCATTTCATTTTCATATCATTCAAAATGCATAGGAAGGGATACAAGGACCAGTTTTAAGCCTTATGAAAAGTCTTCATTAAAAACTTATTTGAAGCCACATTGAGCTTCTGCCATTTTGACAATATTGCATATAAAAACCCTTATTCTGCTCAACTGTCAATACTCTGCAGTTTCTTTTATGGCACATTATCTAGGTTATGGCAGCAATGGTATGGAATATTGCATACTTTGAGAAGAGAGAATGGCTACAGCTAGAGACAGCCCAGTGGGACTCCATGCACATCTTAAGGAAATCACTGATACTTCGATGTGGCCCAAGAAGTGAAGAAGCAAAAAAAGAAAGATGCAATCACAGCTTGGCTTGGGCTTGGAGCAGGAAACCAATCCAGACCTAGTATGATCTAATGGTGAAGGTTTCCAACCTGTATCAAAACATGGCATCTCAATATGCATCAGGACAGCACAAAGAAAAGCAAAAAACGAGGAGAGTATAAAGGAAGAGAGGAGCCAGTTTCCCACATCAGGAACTGGGGCAAGTTCCCAAACGGGGGTCAATTAAAAACTGTCACAATAAAGTGCTATTCCAGAAACTCCAGCACAGCAATGGTACTGGCCACTGAGAGGTTAGCAAATCCTCTCCAGCATTTTTGCCATGTGAAAGGAAGATAACGCGAGCAGGGTTGCTGTCCAACTTGTTTGCTGTAGGCAGATTGTTCAGTGAATGTGAATATCACACTCATTATCACTACAAGGGGATCTGGTTGTGGGGATGCGGATGCAGGACTGAGGGTCACAAAGGCATCGTGCTCACAAGGCATGGAGAAGGTAACTACTGAAAACTTGGGGCTGCTGCTATGGCCGGTTACAACAGGGTGTCAAACATCATTAGTGATAAAACACACGCGCACACACTTGTACTTGCACGAAGACGACCCACAGAGGGTGCACCCGGGGACACAATATCGATCTAGCAGAGGATGTCTCATGCTAAACAGTGACAAAGGGGTACAAGTCCTCCCCCATCACCACCACACATGAAAAACTGGGGGCAGGGCCAAGAGGTTGGACGGAGTGACAAACTGATCACTCACAAGACAAGGGCGTGCTCTGGTGCCCAGTGTGTGCACACAAGGTGACTGGAAAGCTGCTCTTTTGCATGCTGCGTCCTACATTAAGTGATTTCCAAGCACTTTAAATTCTGCCTTGAATTCAAATAGTGGCAGCGGTGTTAACGATGCATCCCACAAAATGAGTGCTTCCAGTGTGGCAGAGGAAGGGATGGGAGTGCCTGAGCTGCACTTCCTGCGACCACAGGCTCAGTTTTCATAGAACGTGCGAGTCAAATCTGCTCTGGATTTTGAAGGGACTTCAGTGTGGCACTGTGATCAGAGAGGGAGTGAGCGTGAAATGGAGAACGGACAGGTGCCTGCAGTGGCTCACGAAAACACCATAGGCCAGAGTGGGGTGCCTTTCACAGAAACAAGGTGGTTAATTTTATAATTTACTGTACAGGATTTAACAAAACACACAACAAAAATAGCACCGTGTATCCAAGCCCTTCAGACCGGGGTGATCGGATGGCCCGCACCCCATAACCCTACACGCTGGGGAGCAAAGCGTGTTCTCGGTCACGGGTGAATTACCCTGGATGCAGCTTCTTGCTTTCAGCAACCTGCTTTGCTTTGTGTTAAGCAAGGTCAAAGCTGTTCCATCTATCTCAGCTTGGACCTTGAAGGCCCAGGCCGCTTGGCTTCAAGATATAACTAACTGGAAACCCAGTTCTTCATGGCAAGTTACATGACACAGAGTAAGCACAAACACCAGTGCAAAAGAAAAATGTAAGAAGCCCAACAGACACCCATTAACCCCCTCGCTCCTTGCAGGGCTTCAAGGACAGCTGGCGCCCAGCCTGCCACCGTTCAGAGCGTCTGCGTGTTCGCTTTTCCCTCCAGACCTGCAGGCTGCTGGCTGGGCAAGTCCCTCTCCTCATCTAGCTGGGCCTGGGCAGGGAAGGCCAGGGGATTCCGGCTGATGACCAGCTCCAGCTTGTCTCCGGCCTCAGAGATCAGAGGAACAGCCAGACAGCAATCAAAGTCCCTTGTGCGGATGCGATTTACCTGAGGGGATGGGGAAAGATTTGTTGTGTGTTAATGGGAAAGCAGACACTCAGCCGGCACAGAGGAAGAGGAGGGGAGAGAATGAGCACAGACCAGCAAGCCCAGCCAACTCCGTTAAAAGTCGCATGTTAAAAGTCACATGTCTTAAGCACAGGGACACCCTGTTGTAGGCCCTTCTCCCTCTAAACGTACTCAGGACTGTGCCTTAAGAAAACTGCCTTGTACAAAGGTTCAGTTCAACAAATTGCAATGTAGGAACACTCTTATTACATGGAAAACCCAGGCAAAATGAAATCATGCTAATGCTATAGCACAATGATCTTGAAAATAATAATTAAAAATATTCCCAGAAACATTAACTTCCTGTTCCAAATGTTGGACCGGAAGATGTGTCAGATCAAATAATAACTTTTTTTTGTCATATCCAGTTACTAATGGCAAACCTACTAGATGTGGTAAGTCAGGGATTTTATTTATTAGATTTCTAGCCTGCTCTTTTTTCTTTTTTAAAGAACGCAAGGCAGCTTCCATCATTCTCCTCCTCTTGCTCTCCACCTTCTCCCCACAACAACAACCCTGTGGGGTAGGTTGGGCTGAGAGCCTGTGGCTGGCCTAGAGTCACCCAGCTGGCTCCACAGCTAGAACCCAGACCGTCCGAGTCCCATCCCCATGCTCTTAACCACTGCTCCACACAGGCTCACTGGGATGGCAAACGTTTGTATTTTGGAAGGGGACCCTGTTCTCTGGCTAGCGGTCTGGAAGCCAGAAATGTATTCTATCCCATCAGCATATCAGGCTCTAGGATGGCGTTAGTGCATCTTACGAAACGGGCTCTGCCACAGCTAAGGGGAATGTGCGCCGAGACACACGCAACCCAAGAGTGGCAGGGAATGTTTACTTTTCATGACTTGAAAACATTTCTTCCCCTTCTGCATGGTAAACCTGTGAGCAAAATGTTTGCTCCAACACGATTAAAATGCCGTCAGGGATGTGGTATCGCTCAGGAGCCACGCCTGGCCTACGCAGTGCCACCTGGCCATCCCTTCTTTGGGTGACAGTATGAAACTCTGCTGACAGGCAGGCGAGGGTGCAGAGCAAGCACAGATGCCAGGGCCAGGTAACAACCCACATTGCTAAACATGCTCCGAAGCAGCAGCAGCAGCTGGATGGCTGCTCCAAGGGACCGTTTCATCTTCTAACACCCCCTCCTGGGAGAGGCAGCAGACAGAGAGACGAGAGAACGAGCAGAGCCCAGCAGAGGAGACCAGGGACTGAGCCAGATGCCTTGCACGTCGGAGAGCCTTCCTATTTGCCAAAGCTCCCGGATTGCTCCGATCCTTGCCTTCCGGAAGACTGCGAGGGGGAACATCCTCAAAACCTTGGGCCAAGAACGGTGGTGCTACAGAGCTGGAGCACAGGTCAACCAATACTGAGGCCTCGCCTGAAGTGGGCCGTAAGTACCTGCCACCTTTCTAGCGAGGAATGGGCACTGCAGGAGGACTCACGGAGAACGAGAGCGCACGGTGTGATGGCGTGTGGCAATCGTTACACGCACGAGTGCTGACAGCTCCCCCATGCAAGCTCTCCTGCAAGTGAGCCAGCTGTCGGCGGTCAGATGGTTTTAACTTTTCCTTCCATTCCTTTCTACCATTCCTTGTCTTGATTACCTGAAGGACTCTGTCATAGGACTTGAGTCCACACTGATCAGCTGGGCCATCTGGACGGATCATATTCACGTAGACGCCTTTTTCCAGCAAGCCATCTGAGACACTAAACCCAAAGTCTTCAGTCTCCGGATCTTTGTAGATAGTCATCTACCGGAAGAGAGAAGTCCAATTTGGTAGGAACCATAGAAATAGAGGTGGAAGCAGTGTAAGGAAACCCTCAGGTGCAGGGCCAAGGTCCGAGAATAACACGCTTCTGCTGAGGGTTTTAGTGTGATGCTTCCCACAACATGGACAAAACAGTAGTTGGATGAATTTACATTATACCACAAGGACTTACCTGTCAGACTTGGGCCTGGCAAGACCTGGATTCAAATCCTTGGACCTTGGAGCCACCTACTATCCTACTGCCTCACCTACCTTACAGGGTTGTTGTAAAGATAAAATGAGGAGGTGAGTCACACAACCCAGTTAAGCTTCATGGAGTCCCTTCAGCAAAGGACAGGATATAAATACAAAAAGGGGGATTTATGATAGAAAGTTAGTGCAATCCATTTTGCATTGCTCATATAGGTCATATATCCAGATTTTTTAAGACAATTACATCTTTTATCCTGATGAGAGAGGGAATGCTTAAGTTAGGGACCCAGAGGCCTCCATAAAGCTGCCACCCTGGGGCATCAGGAACCATGTTCTTGGGGGAATACACAAAGGCGTGTTTAGACACCGGTCTCCAGGCTTCCACAAGCCAGTTCAGGGATATGTGAAGACATGAGCAAGCTCACGGCCGGCTGAGGACACGTGTCACCCAGCTGCCACACTGAGCGGATGCAGCCCTTTCACGGCAGCACAAAGCTGTCCTTGAGAGCTTTTGGAGAAGGCGCTCAGCTGCCTGGCTCCAGCCGCTTCTCGTGGACACTTCCCAACAGCTCCACCCATTAGCCATATAAGCCCCGGGAGATCTCAGCCTCTCCGGCTGCTTTGCTGACATTAGGTATGTGTAATCTCTGGCTATTATTTCCTTTAGCATCATTAACTTTGTTCACTAATGATATACGGAGAAGGCTTCTGGAGTCCACATCACTACTGGTGCCAGACCCTGTCTTTTGGGGATGAGGGTTTGGACTGGATGAGGGACACATTCCTCACTGTCTTTATTTCCAGGACCTCTCCAGTCGCCCTTTTCATCTGGCCTTGGTCTGTCTCCAACCACCTATCCTAATCAACCAGTGTTTCATACACACACACACACAAATGTATCTGTCAGGCTGGCACTTCTGCGGACTTTCACCAGAAGCCACTGGGCGCCTCAGCGGAGGAAGGGCAAAATGGGCAGAACACACACAGGCACGATGTGCAGAAGGCGCTGGCAAGTCTCTGCTCAAATCTAGAGGAGACCGAGGCGAGACGCAGCAGCGCGCCAAGGATGCAGAGCACAGCCAGGCCACTGAGGACGCCGCAGCAGTGCCGCCCATGCCGTATCTTCCGTTTGCGTGTGTGCGCACATTTTTAGCTAACCCCTGTATGCCAAACAAAATCCATTTGCTGGCAAAGTCCCCCAGGGCTTTTCATTTATAGCATCTGGCATCTGGTGCGGTCCTCTGGTCTCATTATCACACGAGATCCGGTACGTATCCCAGTTATTTTTATTGTGTGAAGCACGTTCAACAGCATTTACAGAGGACCAGGCGGTACCCTTCCTTTGGGCCCAGCGAGTCCCCAGGCACTAAAGACTCAAACAGAGAGTCGTGTCTTCATGAATGGAAGAGGTGACAGCGATCCTGACATTGCGTCACTGCAGTGCCCCAACTCCTCTGCTTCACGGTGTGGGACGCATTGCTTCTCCTCTCCTGAAGAGGCACGGCCTGCTCTGAGTCAATGATTCCCTTCGATTAATCACAACAGCAGGACTGCTGAGGGGCCGTGTTTCCGTGGCTTCCCACTGCCCCAGGAAGACAACTGCGATCGCTACTTGGAAGAGGACGGGCTTGTGAACAGAGCACTTAATTCATAATTATGCGGTAGGAGGCAAAGTCAATATTGCTATTTGAAAAGGTCTTTTCTTAAAGCACAATGTGCAATCTTCCAATAAGTCATAGGCAAATTCTGCAGCTGTGGAACGGGCTTGGACAAAACACAAAAAGAGAAAGAAAAGGACCTCCAAGAGCACACGGGTGCAGGCACTAATACAGCAGGTTTGATCCAGAAAGCAACTTGCCTAGTTAGGGCAGCATGATTTTACTTAGGTCACAGGTGCCATCCGCCAGAGTTGTGCTGGCCACACACCTTTACCCTTCCCAGCTATCACTTTGTAGATTAAAAAAGGGAGCTATGACAAATACTAGTCATACACCCTTTGCCACTGGCAGGTCACCTGCATATTTTGCAAGCATGTATGTGGACACATGTTCTAATTGTTGCAACACTGAGTGCATATGTGTCCTTCAAAGCCCACCTTGTATTTACTGCAGACGGCTGAATTTCCGAGAGGTCTTGGGAAATGAACCCTGCCTGGGGACTTCCATGGGACAGAGGAAGCTGCCTTATCCCCAAGTCGAACACTGCTTGGCCAGCCCGTGAGGCTGCTGGCAGAGCTTTGTGGGGTCTCAGACCAGGGAGCCGCTGGCCTGACCCGGAGATGCCAGAGAGCACTGGCGCGCAAGGTAGGTGCTCCCCCGCTGGCCACAGGCCTCGCCCAGGAGGCCCACGGCCAAAACTGCAGGAACAGGCGCAATATGCAAAGCCAGTGAAAACCTAGCCTATGTCTACGCCACATTTTGCCCCGCAATGGAAGAGTGTGCTCTGTTTTCATTTGCCTTTGCCAATAGCCGTAGCTCATTCCCTTTTCTGAGCTACAGGCATCTGCTCCTCGGGGACCTTCCTCAGGTCTGACGCACACAACTAGATTTCCCACTGGGCCCTGGGAGGCAGGAATAAGAAAAGCTCGATGAGAAAGGGCGGGTGGGGGAGGAGGAGAGAGGCATGGGGCGGGGTGGGGTGTGCTGTGTTAGATAACCCAGCAAAGTCCGAAGCCAATGCCTGTCTATCCTTGCTGGAAATATCTGGCAAAATCAGCTATTTTTCTCTTTAAAGTGCTAAGCCTGTTTTCTATGCTCATTGTTCATAATGTCAGGCCACCTCTTTTCCTTTGCCTTGGTGATGATGTCATGTACTTTTTCCTTTGGGTATGTTATTCTAGTTTCAATTTTCTCTTCTTTTAGGGGAAAGTAGCTTGAGAACTAACAGGCCTCTAAAGAGAGCAAATGCCAGAGAGCTTGGAGGGCGTTTCGTAAGTAGCAGTGGCCTGGTGAAGTGGTGCAGATAAAACAGAGGCACAGAGGGGACGGGGCATTAGGGCCGTGCTCTAACATCTGCATGGAACAAGGACGACATGGAGGTGACCGCAATGTTTGTCCCAGGGAGTGTGGTCTAGATGCACAAACCGAAAGAGCATCAGTCAAGAAACTGTTCTTAGGCCGCCACAGTGCATTGGGAAGTTCACAGTTGTCTCACCTTAACACTCTGCTTCAGAGACTGGGGCTGTTCCCATTTTAAATGGATTTCTCTGACTGGCTCCAGAATGACTCCCTTGCTGTGCAAACAGGGGCGTTTAATTTCTAACTAAATGCCCGAAATGCTCCCAGCCACCAGAAGCCTCTGAGCTGAGGCTGGTGCTGTGGGAGGCATTCCTCGGCGCTGGGGGTGAGTGGGTTACATGCCATTGCTAGGAGGCGAGATTGGGAATCCCTGATAACAGCGCTGCCTTGGTATCTGGAATCCCGAGTTTCTCACTGAACTTTCTGAAGGGACAGTACGTGATAAAAGGAAGGGCTCTCCGTCAGTCCTGGCCTCGCGCCATGCCCTCCACCCCTGAAATGGAGTTGCAGCTGTCAACGGAAGGCATTGCGGAGATCCCTACACAACCTGTGGAATTCTCTCCCCCACCTCCTTGGGTACCGTCCATTTTATATGCTTTGTGGTCATGCACATACTTGCGTGCAGCCGCAGGAAGCTGCCTCATTCACGGCTGGGCCATCCAGCTGGCTACAGCATCCACCGTTCACGCAGGAGCCAGCTGGAGACCGTCAGCCATGGACCTCTCAGCCATCCTGCTCTTGCTAAGCAGGTGCAACTGCTCAGGGAGGGAGCTGTGGGAAGAGGCTGACTTCCACTAGAGGACACCAGTGGAACGCCCCAGTGTCTGCCATCTTGTGCTCCTAAGTATTTACCCAGGCAACTTGGCACATAACAGTTGATGGAGCTATTCTCTGAGAGCTGTGTTGGGTCCTCACAAAAATCCACAGGGATTTTTGTGAGGACATATGAAAGCTGCTCCATGGGTGTCAAAAGCCATAGCCAAGCTATTCTTCAGCACATACCTTGTGCAGCTCAAGAGGAGTTGGAGACACGAGTTCCTGAATCTCTTCCTTCATCATCTTAATCTCCAAATTCCTGTCGTTCTTCTTGCTGGGAGTGACATGGCTGCCCTGCCCATCACCAGAGCTCTTGCAATTTCTTGGTGGGCTCAGTCCTGACTGGTTCACAGAGTTCATGAGCAATTTGCCCCCATCAAGGCCCAAATTATGTACACTCCCAGTCATGATGGATGCCTACAGGCAAAAGACACGGAATAATCAGTTCAAGTCGCAGCAACCCAGCTTCAGGTTGGGCATCAGGAAAAGCTTCCTCACGGTCAGAGCAATGCAGCAGTGGAACCAGCTGCCTAGGGAGGTGGTGGGCTCTCCCCCACTAGAGACATTCAAGGTACAACTAGCCAATCATCTGAGCGGGATGGTGTAACATGGTGTCCTGCAGCAGCAGGGGGATGGACTCAATGGCCTTCATGGCCCCATCCAACTCTTCTATGATTCTACGAAAAGTAAAAGAACCGAACACACGCGGTACAGTGAAGCCCAGTGCAAGATGAAGCAAGCCTTGTGAAGCTGGTTCTGACATGAAAGATTTGCCTTCAACACCCCAGGCCATAAGCATTTCCTCCTCCTGTTACATATGCAGAGTTGTCCATGAGAGGCTGATGAAAAGGTGGCCCCATATTACCCTAGCACATATATGTGCTTTGCATCCCACCCCCTTCAAAGACCCTCCCTAACCAGCAAGACGTCCAGAGAGAAAATGAAGCACCATTGTTCAACACACTGCAGGTTTGTGTGCCGTGGGACGCTGCTGGACCACAATTTCTGTTCCAGCTTCATCACAGGCACCCTTGAGTTTGTAAAGATGAGAAATGTCACCCTACAGAGGCAAGGTGGATTTGGCCATACAGCCCCATTCCATGTGAACCAGCTCACCATGTTGCAGTGTCATTGCAATCCATCTTATATACAAAACAGTTTTCCCATTTAACTTAAATTTAGGGACGAGTTTGACTGGTCTAAGTGCCTACAATAAGAGCGCCACATTAGAGCAATAACTTCATTAGGCCAAGCAAAAGACCACAAAGAAACGTGCAGACTTGAAGAATCTCCAGACTTTATCGTTGGACAAGGTGCTCTAAGAAGCATCAGGTCTGATGAAGGGATCTAGAAACCTTGAATCCTTGTTCATTTGTTGTGATCATTTGGTTGGCCTAATAAAGGAGTTACACTAACACACCTTTTAGTCTTTAGTTATGGGCAACATGGCTATCTTTGCTTTTTTGAGTGTGATGTGCAATACAAGAGTTGTCCTGCTAGCAAGGGAATTTAAAAAAAAAAATAAACAGTTTCTGTCTGGAATAATGTATGCAAAGAGTGCTGAGCACTGATAGTTGGAATCTAAAAGGCAAAAGGCCAGTTTGGTTTTGGGAGAAACAGGACTGGCCCACAGGTGTGCTGCTTCTGCACCTTGGAATAACTGGTCTACCCGGATTTCTATAGACAAGATGAGCAGTATAAGCACCTAGTGATGTTACTCTGCAAGGAGAGCCATTCTTTGGACTGAATAATCTCATCATTCAAGCAAGAACAAACATAAAACTGTTCAGCCCACCTTTGGTCCCTTCTCACAAAACAACTGGACACAGCTCCAAGAGCAAGAAAAAGAGGACGACTTCCTAGGTGTGGTGGCAATGGAACAACTAGACCGCGTCTCTTTTCATAGGGATAATTTACCTCAATTTCCCTCAAAAGTTCAGACTGGCCGCATGTTTCCAAGTCCTCCAGAGCTTCTCCAAAAACACGCCAAAAATTATCCTCCTGTGCCGTCTCAAGGCCATTTTGGCGGTTGGGATATCTGTTGTAACGTAGGAACCAAAGATTGTCAGCACTCTTCTGGAGCAGGGTGGAAGCCGCAAGGCTACAGCAAGTGGCTCGCCAGTAAAAGCAGAGACTTGGCAGAGTCTTCATATACAAAAGCAAACCATATGAACTTTTCAGGCAAGAAAGAGAGTCCAAATACAAAACCTCCATGCACTTTCACTAACAGGGCAGAAGTCCTTCAAAAGGAAGAATTAAACTGGTGTAGTAATGTCAAGTTCAAAAGGGTAAATAAAAAGTGCCTGTAGGAAGATTGTAGGTTTAGGAAGACGTTTTGGTGAAATAGAGAAGTAAAAGAAAAAAGGATGCATTATGGGTAAACCAGGAGCCTCAGAGACTGTTAGTACAAAGGCGGATGGGACAGATTTCAGATCTGAGACACAGAACACCTGAGAAGAGAGAGAAAAACACAGAGGGTAACAGACATGGTGAGAAAATGATAAATACATCAGGTCTCTGTGGGAGTATATAATGTAAGATGTATATAAAATGATTTTCCCTAGACTAGGCAAGCAATAGACCCAGGACTGGATAGGATTTAAACGCAGGCCATATTTGTCTCATCTCTTACTGTCATGGCTCAATAGCTGCGCAGTCAGTACCTGGTTTTAACCATATTCTGTTGGCCCTTCTGGTTACTTGAGATTAGGAAACATGCCACCCGAAGGGGTGTCAAGAGCTATGCTTACTGCCACCCACCCGCATTTCCACACAAACTGGGCCAATCAGCTCTTCCCCAGCCCAATCCCACACATTCGGTCCCACATTCCCAACACTCTTGCCACACTTTGGTGTGACCAGGACCAAGAACCCAGGATACTGCAATGTAGGAAGGAGTCAGGCTTGAGTCTGAGCGGCTTGAGCTTCGGAAGGGTCCCCCACTCAATTGCACCCCTAATGTACAGCTGTGCCCCCAACTCTGGGAAGCCTGACTTTGCTGGCAGCAAGACCAGGGAGTGGTGCATTGCACCCCTTCCCCTGCAGGCGTGGGGATCTTGCTAGGGTCTTCTTGTCTGCCAGCATTTAGCCCCAAGCATGTCACAGCAATGCCTGCTTCCCACTCGCAGGGAAGAATCACTCAGTCTGGGAATCTGGCATCCCCCGTTAGAGCCCTAAAGGTAAAACAGGAATTAAAAATGAACTAAAGTCACATGAAATGGTGCTGGAAATTCATGCCAAGGAAATGGTTACCGTTTTAATGGGTCAACACTAGGAAGAACTGTGACACAAACAGAGGGGAGGTTGAGTGCTGGGCTTTTGATTTTATGCCACTGCCTTCCCATTGATTTTCCATCCTTACAGCCTTTCCCCATATCCCTAGGATGGAGTGCTCTTTGGTCCAAGATTGACTTGGTATTCGTGTGTGTAGGCCAACTGAGCTGTTATTGACTCTCTAGAATTCCTCCAGAAACCTCAGAACTGAGGTAGTTGGACTGTGTGGCAAAGATTCCACAGCCAAAGCTGCCCACACAACTCCCACAATCGCTGATGAGGCCAGGAAGGCAGAACTGTGGCAAGAATTCCCGGCATTTCTGGATGTTCACTAATGAGTTAGGGCAAACTGATGCTGGATGCTTGACGTTTTCTGTGCCCATCCCTGTTGGTCCGAACTAGAAAAGTCTGGGTTCAAGCTGGGCGGCACGGACCAAACCTTGGAACTTACTTCTGTGCCCCCACCCTGGTCACACTTGCTAATTTAGCCCTAAAAAACAGGACAGAAATCCAGCCTCAGGATATGGCTTTACAAGAGGGCAATTCTAATGTGTTTTGTTCTTGGCAGAATTGCAAATGTGCTTTATTTAGGAGGAAAAGATATTTGTCCATGGATCCCATGGTCTATCTTGTGCCTGCTCATGTGGGCCTAGGAGTGGAATTTACTGTGCTATTGAAAGCGAAGCCTGGAAGGGACTTTTTGGTGGCACATCAAGCAGATGCACGTTTACATGTGGGATTGCATACCTGGCAATAACTTCTGTACAGGCAAGTTTTTAAAAGTTTCTGCTTCTTACATCCTAAATTGCCTTTAAATGGATGGTCATTAACATGTCCAAATAAAGATTACCTTTGAGTCAACACTCAGAGTTCAAAAGCGGGCCACAGATTAAAAAGATCAGTATTCCCCTCCAGTCATTTGGACATCATGCTAATAAAAATAGAGTCTGGACATCCGGAATTCAAAATGTCAGTGGAATTTTATTCAGACCAAACAGCCATTTAGACACGTACACACACTAATCAGAAGAGCTCGCCATTCCACTTGTACAAACACAGACGAGGCCTCAGCTCTTTCTGAATTCAAAAAGCATATAGTACAGTAAGTACAGATTGAAGGCGATGTTCACAGAACAAGTTCCCTTTGCTGCTGCTTACTGAGCTAAAAAGAAGATGGCTCAAACACTATTAACAGGAACATTTGGTCAAACTTCATTCTGCATTAGCAACAGAAAACGTATTTTTGGTCATCATTCAACCATTTGCAATACTGCCTGACTAGCTTCAGCCCTGGGCAGGACTGTGCTAAGACATTTTGCTGCCTGAGGCCAAGAGTGAGACGGTGCAAGGACACAAGCCAGCTGGAAGTTTTCCTCTACCCTGGTGGGGGTGGGGGGAACATCTTCCCGTGCACTTGAAGGCATCAGGCTAATTTGTGGAGCGCGGGGTTTACGTCCTGTGGCGTACAAGCTCCCTCCTCCAACACTTCGCTGCTCTCTGGTCAGAACTGCTGCCTGAGGTGGCCAGTTCGCTTGGCCTAAGGATAGGCCTGGCCCTGCCCACAAGGATCATCTCAGAGCCACCTAGCTGGACACATCCTTGTGGCTGGGCACTGAGTTTGTAAGAACCTGGCAAGCAGACCCCTTGCTGTGGCCATTCCAGCTTTTCGTTCCAGCATCTTTTCATCGAAAAATGAGGGGCAGAAACAGGAGGAAAGAACCGTCTGTGTATCTTTGTGGAGAAGGGCTTCTAAGGAAGCTCATGGATGGAGTCACGCTGCGAAAGATGCAATACAGCAAGTTACATAAAACCCATTGATTCAATCGTGTTTCTTGGGTGGGAAGTTAGATTTTCATTATTTCAACAGAATCCATGAGTTCTGCATTAGAATGATGCTCCTTCTCTCTGAAGGACCACATCCATGAAACTCCACAGACACCTGTTCATCAAAACATGTGTTTTGAGATGCATGACTATAGTGATGGAGAAGGCCAGCAATGGCTCCCAGCCCTGACGCTTATATGCTACCTCCACTACCAGAAGCAGCCTGCCTGTGCTCACCAGCAACTGGGGCACGTTGATGGGGAGGTGCACTCGTGTCCTGCTTGTGAGCTTCCTGCGGGCTGCTGGCAGGTCACTGCGTGAAGGTGGGCTAGACGGACCCTTGGGCTGAGAGTCACCTCTCCTTTGACGCTAGCCCATTAGAGGTATGCACAGAAGGTGGTGCAGGGGTTAGAAGGCAGGACGGGGACCTGGGAGATCCAGGCTCTAGTCCCAACTTGCCCCGAAGCTCAGTGGCTGACAGGCCTTCAAGGACTCTCAGCCTAGTCCACCCCACAGGGCAAGGGCGATCTATCAACCACTTTGTGTTCCATGCCAAAGGAGAAATGGCAGGATAGAAATGCAACGTAACAGTAATTTTAAAAATGCATTTCATTAAGGGCGCCTCTCAACACTGTGTGTTGTTAGCTACCTGTGCTGACGCTCCTGATTATGAAGACAGTTGCTGTCAAGTAGCTAGTAGGGGGGAGAGATGCTTTTCAAAGAGTCCTTCCTAAACTCAGTCAACAATCTCCCTCGTACATAAAACATGCATACATGCCCCCTCTTGCGGTCCGTTTGAGTGCCTTCGCTTCCCCTCATTTCCTTACAAGTCCAACATACCTGCTGGGCTTCTCCCAGTCATCCTCACTGAAACTGCCATCCATAAAGGGGTAACTCTTCCTGGGGTCCCCAGGAGGGGTGCTGCTCTTCTGCCTGCTGGATCTCCACTCGTGCGGATGAAGAGCAATGCCAACAGCCTGAGGTAGGTATGTACCTACTGTGGCAGAATGCAGAAGAAAGACAAAAAGGGAAGGAGAGGATTGTTTTCAGTTGGTTTTAAAGAATAATATGGATGCTTCCGGAGGTAGAGAGGCAACCTGACAGTTACGCCAACTGACTATGAAGCCTGGTCTCCATTTTGGCCTGTGCTGTCCAACAGTCTTCCTGTATAAAGCTAGATTGTGAGACAATTGGATTATTTAAATCTTATGCATCCTGAGGGCCCCTGGTGAATCAGAAGGTGGGATAAGAAAGAAAGCAAGGTACTGGGCTTTTCTCCATGCTCAAGCTTCCTGGTGCTGTGAAAAATAAAACAGGACAGAGTTGGCCAACTTGCTTTCCTCGCAGGGAAAAAGGCTGGACTGCAGAAAGTTGTCCCCAAGTACCCTTTGAGGAACACCAGCAGTGCTTCCTGATAAGCTTCCGAAGGCGCCACTGCACTATCTCCAGGCAGCTCAGGCATCCTCCTCTTCCACTCACGGCCCTCCCGTCTTTCTTCCTCTACTGGAAGCAAAAAGGCAAGGTTGCTGCAACAGCACCTTCTGGCTGCTAAGGGCTCTTCGTCAGGAAACAGCTCACATTCTCGTTGATCTGTTTTACTCCCCAGGCTTGGAAGCTTTGTGCAGGCAAACTTTGAGAAGCCAGCCTGGGAAGCATGTTTTAATTTGTAAGACAAAAGCAAAATGAGGCATGTCATCAGACTCTCTGTTACTAAGTTTCAGTGCAGGGACCAAAGGCAGGCTCTTGGAAAAATCCAGTGTTGAAAGTGTGGGAAGACATGCATTGCTAGATCACTTGTGGTTGCTCCTAACTGCTTCTGAGGAATAACTACCCCATCGCCAACCTACATGATACCACTAATGCTAAAGCATGAAACCTAACTGCGTGTTTTTACTCTCCAGTCAGGGACAACTGCTCAACACCGCTCTGTTTGCAAGGGGAACATAAGCATAAAGCAGTGTTCCTCCAGAGGTGCTGGTCTGCAGCAGGGAATGATGGGAGTTGACGTCCAGCACATCGGGAGGGAGCCAAGTCAGAGAAGGCAGGCATAAGGTAAGTCCTGCCACGTTAGACCTTGCGGTCTAGTATCTTGTTTCCAACCGTGGCTGACCAAATGCTTCCAGGAAGCCCCCAAACACCCCCAACCTGCACTGACACCTGACATGCAAAGGTAGGCGGCTTCTGAAAAATACTGTTTCTATTTCATAATCTTGGCTGATAACTATTGACAAACCTTTTCTTCATGAATTTGTCTTTTAATGCAATGACCAGGTGTGGATGGTACGCCATGGTTCATAATGGCTTATTTATTTCCCCCATGAAAAGCAAGCCCCATCATGCAAAAGAATTGAAGTAAACAACCTTCACATGACCCTGAACAGACCAGGTGGGTCTATTTAGGGTTGTCTGTCCCTCATATAAACCATGCTTGCCAGTTTAGTGCAACATAATCCCCCTCAGACATAGTAAGGGGGAATATCATCACTATACAACAGAAAATGAAATTCCAACCATCCACTGAATTACATGGTGCAAAAGTTCTAGCTGCAATACGATGCTGTCAGTTCCCTGCTTTGCCACTGTGACTTTATTGTCTGCTAAGCAACCCTGACAAGGTGTTAATCCTAAGATGGTTGTTACCACCTGAGAGGGCCGTAGTTCATTAACTGAATCCAGTTTTTGCATGCCAAAGGTCCCATGCTCAAGCTAGTTTACTAACTGTTGGATCTGCAGTCAGAAATGCCATTGTCTAGCCAAAGCTGCTCAAACAGCCGAACTGCAGACCAATAACCATAGAGGGTACCACATTGGGCCTACAAAGGTCATGGGCTACAATGATCTGGATGATCTGATCAAGCAATGCCGGGGGTGAGAAACTTCTGCCAGCAAAGCTAAGTTCCTGTGGAAACCTACTCCTGTTCCACACAGCCTTTTTGATTTTAATATTGCTGCTCCTTCCAGTTTACTTGTAGCCAAAGACCTGTCTCAAATAACATCCGCGGTGCTACCTTCTTGGTGTCAATGGCCTTGCCAGCTGGGAATGCTACCAACATACCTGAAGAGCACTAGATTGGAAAATGTTCACATAGTGGCTACAGGCTTAAGCAGTGAAAAGTCCCAGGTTCGATTCTTACCTTGGCTGTCAACTCACTGATCTGGTTCACACAGCACAACAGCCCACCATGGGGTTATTGACCCTTGGGGCAGAACAGAACATGCCGCTGACCATTATGAATAGGCAACCCCGGGTGGAGATTTTCCAGCTTGTCATGTCATTTGCACCCAGGCATTGCAGGTGGCTTGACAGTTAAACAACCCACCGTCTGTTATAGGGTTATGCACAGATTGTTTAATCTTCAACTCCTGCTATCCAGGTTCAGACAACAGAACAACCCTCGTTGACCCCGTCAGGTCATGTATATACATAATGGTGGCCGGCATGTGCCACAGCTCCTTGCAGGTACCTTAGTCTATGATAGGGTGTTGCATTGTACCAATTGGCCCCTTAAACTCTCCTTCAGTTTCATTTCTCCATCTGCAACACAGAAGATAACAACACAGCAGCAATGCAGCAAACCCATCACATCTTTCTTCTTTTTAAGATGGATTGTAAAAGGAGATTATCTGTTACAGACTTTTTTGTACATGTGTGCTATTGTTTGGTTTACTCTTGTTGTTATTTTGTATTGCTACATTTTGCATAGCATTGTGTTTTGGGATGGCGTTTGTGCAAAAAACAAATAAATTCAGTTCATTCAGTGCTGATACTGAATGCTGCAGAGCATGATAGAAATTGTACGACTTATTTTCCTAAATAGTAAAGGGGAAAATGTTGAGGAGGAAGAAGAAAGATGTGCCAGAACTGGGCAATGCAGAGGATGGGGTTGGGATCCATGCCCGGAAGGCTCTGAGCCCATGATATGATGAATCGGGATTTCATGTGCTCCAAGTAAGCATAGAAAAGCCTACTGCAAAGTGGGAGCCCGTGAGAACCATTCACGGAGCTCTGGAAAGCATTCCTGACACTTCTCCCAGGCTATGCTACAGGGGAAAAACCCTTCAAACTCACCTCAAGTTCAGCTTTGGGCAAAGCAAACCACTGCTGCGTTCAACTTTGGACAGAGCAACTGCAGCAACAATCAGGGTCTGCTGTTAACTGTGGAGGCCAAAGGGCCAGCACTGATTGAGCGGGGAAGGTCTTGTGCACTTGTACAGATTGCTGTACAACACCAGTTTTTCACCTGCCTGCTGACATGCCCCTTCCCTCTGCGCATGTGCCTGATCTGGATGCTCCTAGTGGCACATGTCTGTATGCCTGCCGAGTGCCACATGTGGCGAAGGGTGCAAGGACGTGCAGCGCTAGACAATCTTCAAATGTTTATGGCAAAGGCAGAGGTGTGATAGGGGGACGGAGCCTCTTCCTGTTCTGCCCACCACCGCCATGAATTGTGGGAACTTCTGAATGAGTTCACAGGTCCAGAGACCTTCAGGGAAAGATTACAAAAGAGGCTGAGTGACGTCCAATGGCAGTGTCACAGCTGCTCCGCTAAAGTTTGAAAGAAATCAGAGAAAGGGATGGCAGCTGGGTGACCCTACACCTCTCACCCCATCCCCACACACAGCTGGTAACATTCTGTTCTCTTGCCTTAGCCAAAGGCCAGTGGAGTCAGTGGGTTAGCTGGTAAGTCTTTGTGTGCAGAATGTTCTGATCTTAAAGGAACAAGTGTTCCTTTAAAAACAAAATGATGAACTTTGTCCTCTTCGGAGGAAATAACTGGCATTCTCTCTGGCCTTCTCTGCAAGGTCTTTAAGCATGCAATGCTCTGCCGCTACTTCTGGCCTCTTTGGCACAGTCATTTTGTAGAAATGTGCAATGGTTCACTGAAGGGCAGCAAAAGCTCATAAGAAAACCCAACTGGATAAGGTAAATGAGGGATGGGAATGAAAGCTGAAGGTTTTGCTTTGTACTGATTTAATGGTGTGCTTAAAAGCTGCTAAATCATGGCTGGAAGAGCCTTATGCCTCATCTCCAGTGCATCTATCACTGCCCCAAACTGGTGCCTGTTTGCTGCTAAACCATGTGAAAAGGGGAACCCAACCACAAGCATAATGGGCACCTGTCTGTCATCCGTTTATACTAAATGACGTGTGTGATATGTACTAATATCACCCCAATGCTAATACAACCTATGAACAATACAAGGTTGTTCAAACACATTTGTTTTCCTAATTGCTGCTAAAATTAGCAAGCTCTTCCTTCCCATGCCTGGGAGGAAGGACCGTCGGAATATCCTTAGGCTGAGTCGGACCCTTGGTCCGAGTAGCACTGCCAACTCTGAGGTGCTCCAGTGTTGCAGGCAAGCATTTCCACAGCCCCACCTGGGGATGCCAATGATCAGACCTGGCACTTCCTGCATACAAGGTGGTACCTCGGAGCTATAGCTCCTTCTTGCATGCACTTCACCCAACGGAAAAAGATTTATGGACTGGCCCTCCAGGATTCATAATGGCAGAGGAAAATGTATTCTCTTGGAGAACCAGCTTCACGTATGCACAGAATCATGGGACAGGTAGGCCAACTCACCCTGGCTTCCATAACCTGCATCAATGCCAGAACCATCCCATGATTCCATCGCACTGTCCACACTAGGAATGGTGGTGGAGTAGATCTCAGAGAGCTTGCTTGTTTTCTGAGAGTCAGTCAAGTCATCTTCCGGGTCACTCACTTCATTCATACTCCCAGACTTTTTGGGATAAGTTCCTGGAACCAAAAAGAAAGAGGCACAGACATGCACAAAATGAGGCAGTGACACATTCCCACACATGCCAGCTTGCTGTTTTTATATTATGTACAGCTGTGGTCACCACCAGGATTCATTGGTGCAGGATCCATACCATGCCTCCAGAGAATATAGGGTACAATGTCAAGGGTCAAGTTCTTCCCTAGCACAGGCGCAAGATCAATCTTCCTTTCCTGCCCCTTCACTCTCTAAGCCTTTTTGGGTCATGGGAGCTTCAAGCTGCATCAGCTGTGATTGAAACTAAGAATGTTCTATACATTAAAAACCACCTACTGATACTGTGTGAGCTTAAGTGCATTTGCTCACAAGTACATTTCACTGAAATCAATTAGAGACTCACCCCCAACCAAATAATTTTCAGATTTAGTGGTAGCAAAATGATCTATTCTTTACTACACACTTGAACCACCATCATCCAGACAATTTGCTCTTTCACCTCAGAACATCTCCTGAGATAAAGACTGTTCTTTAAAAGAGAAAGAATTCTATACTCTCCCAAAATTAGGATGGATGAAATTGCTTATAATGACTAACTCAAGACGGCTGAGAATTCCAATTTTGGATACTTCAGAGTTAGAAAGATCAGTGGGAATTAACTTCTTCCTTCCAGTCATTTTGACACATGGGTTGCATGCTGAGAGGTGCTGTAAAGGAAGATACGATTATGCAGGCTGACTGAGCTGTGGTAGTCATATTCTTTCTTAGGGAAACATCCCCGAATGGCTCAGGATGTTCTCCCAGTAGCTGAAAGGGACAGAGAGGTACCCCTGGACACTGAGAGCTACCTGGGATGGAAATTGCTTGGACCAGCAAAGGGGGTTTTGCCCGTGTGCACCAGAAATGACAATTTTAGGGAATGTAGAATGAGAAAGTGCTGAACAGGAGACTGGAAGACACTTTGTGGCATGGTGGGCAGGGGGAATCTTTCCCTGGGGATCTGAAGCAATGCAGTGGGTCCCTCCATCAGCGCTCTACTTGTATAAAGTCACATTAAAAATGCTGTAAGACGCAAGGGATCTCTCCTCCCAGGTCAGCTATACCAGAGAGGGCTGCCTCTGCATCGTCTTCGGAGTGGGAAAAAAATGGGCTTTGCACTGCAGAAGAGCAATGTCAAGGCCTGCCCATTGCAGGTTGGCCACTTCTAGACACAACTTTGTCTGCAATGGCCTCCACTTCCAGGAAAAGCAACCTCTCTTTTGAGCCTGGTCTGGCCTGGTTCTGGAAGGCCTAGAGATCTTCTGTATTCAGAAAAGCACAAAGCTGTGGAAGAAGGTGCAAAAAATGTTGCTACAGTTGCCATGCAATAAAACTGCTTACTGGGGAACCTATTTCCTCATGGCAGCCGCATTCACAAAGTGGGGAAGTGGCAAGGGAAGAGGTGGTCAGGGGCCCCATTCTGGTGTGGGGAGCCAATAAAAACGGACTCCCACACATGCACACAATAATCACACGTATGCACAGGAGAAACTGCTCAGAGAGTTTTGATGAGTGGGAGGTATAGAAACAAAATTAATAATTACAGCAATGCATGCCAATTCTCACATCCTACTCCATATTCTCTCCCCTGCCCTACTCCAGGATGTCATGTCTGTGCTGTATAATAGGCTTTTCTCCTCACAGAAGCCAGAGAGCAGACCCAGGCGAAGGCTGCTCGCTCTCTCTGTGGCCAGAACCGATGATGTCCGCACTGGTGGCGGGAGAGGGAGCCTTCCTCCCTCCTCCTCCTGTGGCGCAGAACTGCAGCGAGGTTTCTCCTTCCTGCCCAAGGGAGGGGGCAGAGCAGTGGAGGAGACTCAGTGAGCTACGTGCACTGGGCCTGGTGGGCCACGGCCTGACTGCATTCCAGAATTTTGCCAGTATTGTTTCTGGAATGAAAAGACTGAAAGCAGATCAGAGGTAGGGAGGTATTCTCTACTTGCCGGAACACAAAAGCCTAAGAGGGCAACAGAGGGAAAGCAAGGCTTTGGGCCATTCTCCTTCCTCATATTTATTAATGACTGAGAAGGAAATTGGGAAGGGTTGCACCAGGAAATACCTCTGTGCTGAAAGACAGAACTGGCAAGGAAGGAAAATGGGTGTGTTTTAAAACCAATAGTCCCTGCAACCAGGAAAATTAAACCGTATGGATGCTCTGTCAGTTGTCTTCATTAAAGCAAAGAACTGAAGGGCAGGGACTTATTCTTCAGTCTTAAACCTGAAGATGTCAAGACTTGTCAGTTAACTCCTTCAAAGGCACTGGTTGGGACCCTCAGTCTGGCAAAGGAAGCTGCTGCACCATTAGAATTTCAAAAGGAAGGGCCTCTGCAGAGTCGCAGAGTCTGATGTGTGACATTTGACTGACAGGTGACTGACAGAGAATGATGCCCATTAAGTTTTTCTCCAATTGGTTTTTCAGCAATTCTTTCAGAAATTTAATGCTGCACCAGAGAGGCACTGCCTGAATAGTTTTAAGAAAGGAGAGAAATGTATGCAAAGAACATTCCACAGTGGCAGTTCTGACGATACGCTTTATTTTATGGGGTTGAAAGTTTTCTTTTCTTTTTCTTAAAAAAAGAAAACAGGAGAGAGACATACAGACAGCTCCAAATCTAGTCAGCTTGTTAAATCAACATTTCAACCATGTGCTTCAGATTATTCCTGCCAGTGATTCACCTGCTGGTCTTTATGTCTTTCCCATCTCCCTGTTTCACAGAAGTCTCCCAAGGAAACTAGCATCTCTCTGCAATTTATACTCCTACACATTGTTGCCCTTAACAGGAACAGTTGTTTCAACAATGGAGCATTGAGGTATTGACTTTTTATTTGGAAAGGTTCCCTCAACATTTCTGGAGGGAGCAATCCTCTAGTCGGATCTCTGAGGAACAGTAGGATAGTTTGGATTCCCAGATTCAAGGTCAGAGGCAGTGCTCCAACCTCGGAGTTTGGACCTGGAGCTCCATCCTCCTCTTGCTCCGTGCACCCACTCCTCTCCAAGGCTGGAAAAGCAACCTTGGGCGTGGGGGAAGAGTGGGTGGAAGGAGACTGAGAAGCCAGGATATGAGCTATCCTGAGGTCTCTCCAGACGTCTTCCCTTCTCCTCTGGAGAGTTTTGGCTAGATGGGGTCTGTGTGGCATAATATGCAGGGCAGGAGGAGAGAGAGAGAAATATCACATCTGGTGCTCCTGCTGCTTTGCATAGGGTTGCCATAAGCTTCCACGTTTGTGGGTTTATGGACATCAAAACTGGATCGTGCCTTTATTGAACTGCTTATAGTTTCTTTATGATGATTACGATTATTACCATGCATTCCTATCTCACCTTTTTCCCTCTTGCGAGGAACCCAAGGCAGGTTACACAGGCTTTGTCCACTCCATTTTATCCTCACAAGCACAAGCCCACGAGGTAGGCTGGGCTGAGTGTCCATGACTGGCCCCAAGTCACCACTGAGCTTCGTGGCCGAGAGGGGACTTGAACTGGGATCTCCCAGGTCCCCAGCTCTCTTACCAGTGCAACACACGCACTTGTTTCCACCACCACTGACACCAGAACCCCCACCTTTTTATCACCCATGTTCCTCCACATTGATCTACACTCATTCTGGGTCTAATACACAAGAGGCAGCCTGCCAATCTCAGAGTGAAAGGAGGTGAAAGAGTCAGAACTTACTTTCTGTTTGCTTCTTGATCTTCAGGGTTACAGTCTCTCCAGCCACCTGGAGTAGATGAATGGCTTCGCTCAGTGGCTTCCCTTTAAGGCTTACATTATTAATAGCTAATATCCGGTCTCCTACATGGATGGCTCCAGTTCTAAAGAAAAGGGCAAGTAAAGAAAACTGCAGCTGTTGTGCATGGCAGCCATGTCATTCATAACTCAGGAAACAGTCCCAAATATGCTTTCACTGGTACTAAAAATGAAGCGGGTTTCATGCACTGATGCACAAATGACAAGATAAGAATATTGTGGAGGAAAAGCATCCAAACAAACACCCAGCTATGTACAGATCAACAGGCATTCATTCTAATCTAAGACTTTTCTATTGGAACAGATGCTTTGCTATATATGTATAGGTACACACACTCAGCAAACCACACCCATTGATTTGCGTGGAAACACAAACCAGTCCTGTATGTTTATGCATATACATTTGACTCCCAACATTGAAACAAACTGAAAAGCCACATATGCGAGAAGAGATCTGCATAAACATGAAAAGAGAAATAAGACTGGGACCATTTCTTCTCTGCCCTCATTATCCCTTTTTGAGGGGTGGGGGTTACCTGGATCATCACAGCCAAGGCTGCCATAATGTTGTATCTGAGATTATGTCAAAGATGCTCGCAAACAAATGACAAGGGTGTGCCATAGCCAATCAGATCAAATGAAAGTATAGTCAAATGACAATTGAAAGAGTGAAGTCAAGGAAGGGAGGAATGTTATCCAAAACGGGACAAAAAGAGTCATTTCCCAGAGGGACAAAACCATGCCGAGCAGTGGAGCAAAACATAAAGCAAGAATTGTTTAGTGAAGTAAGTATTTGTCCTGCCATTAGCCCAGCTGTGCTGTTTATGTTAATTCTGAAGGGAATATTGGACTTCCAGAATATGTAGTGCTGTTTAGTCTTTAATGAAGGAAGTAGAACCCCTCTGAATAAACAACATGAAATAAACCTCCATGAAAGATACAACACAGGGAAGACCATGCACAGAGCCCGGGCAGGCAACTCACAGCCCTCCCGCCCCCCTCTGCATTCACTGCTGAAACTTGGCCATGTGACGGCCCCAAAGGGCTGAGTTTCCCTTTAACAGAAAATGGCCTGCAGTCTACCACTGAGACTCAGAGACAGAACTGCAAGAAAAGCATGGGGGGCGGGGGGAGATCCTTTTGGGCAGCACGGTCACATCGGGGGTGCAGTTCGGGGGGGGGCAGGATTGGTCCCAGCTCTCCAAATGTTGCCAGCCCCTTACACAGAGTATTACTCAACACATCAACACTTGAAGTAACCGGATTTTGTTTGATAAAAATTGTCCAGAATTTAGCAACTTATCTACCAGAGAGCAGTGCTTCTGAGATACTGCAGATGGGGACTACAATAATAAATGTTGCTTTTGTGCAATGCGATTTCTTAATCAGTCCCACTCTGTCATCTAGAACATGCTTAGAGTCCAAAGAGCAGTTCAGCTGTGGTTTGTATCCCAATGAATATAATCTTAATAATAATAGGAAACCATGTCATATCTGTATACCACAGTTATTCTACAGAACTAGCTACAGCTGCAGCAGACATCGTGTCCCATGCATGGCAGTGCTGAGTGATGGGTTTGTGAAATACGAGCAGCCTTAAGAACAAAGAAGCCACACAACTGAGGCTGAGACTGCATGGCCACATGCAGCTGGAGAGCCGTCACAGAAAACAGGGGCCCTTCCATTGTGCTTCTACTGTTCTACTTATTGGAGATGGCAGAATCTATAAGCATCTGTATCTCACTGTATCTTTTCATCAGAAGAGTCTGCCCTACCTTTCCTTTACGATTCTGCTTGAGGATAAATTGCTTTTGCTTACAGCTCTCATGGTATTTGCTTCACGTGAAAAAGGACAGTCTATTTTCAGGTGCAGAAGGCAAAAGCATAGTGCAACTGATAGCCACGCAACTGATGTTGCACACCTGTTTGTCTGCAATTCATTAGGACAGAATCTAGCTACTTCATTTTTGGTGCTCGTTCTTGTTCTGAACCAGTTCATTGATTCCTCAGCCATCCACTGGGGGTCACTCTGGTGCCACTCAAATATCGAAGCAAACAAACATTTGAGATTCCCAAAACGTGGGGTTAGGAGTGCACTCAGCACTGTCCAGGGCAGAAGCAGTCGGTTCAGCTGTTTTCGGCTCCTTTAAAGGTGGGGAAAGGGTGGTGAATGTAGAAATCCTCCTGGAAGATCAGGTCACCTTTTCTGTGGGCGGCAGGGAGAGTGACAGCACTTCTCGGAATGGCAGCGCTTCTACTTTTCTACAGAGCGGTTTTTGTTCTGTGTTAAAAATGGCAGCAGACATCTTCCCCCACTCCCAGAAGAACCTCTCTGCAAGCTATGCTACATCATTGCGTGCCGCTCTGAGAGGCATCCTAGCTCAGAAATGCAGCATGGCCAGCAAACCCTCAGCCTTCCTGAAGTAGAAGTCAAGAGTGTGAGTTCTAAGTCACCATTGTTTTTCCCTACCTTCTCAGGGAGGAAGTTCTTACAAAGGTGTGTGTGTATGGAAGAGTGTGAGAACGAGAGTGAGCATACACTGGAATGCTTGGAGTCCAAAGAGCAGTCATAAAATACATACTGTCTTTTTAGTGGGCTGACTGAAGGCCCTGCAAACACTGAAAGGTGACGCAAGGCTCTTGGCAGCCTCTAGCCTACACTTTGAAACCAAGAACTGGTTCAGTGTCTATTGGTAAGTCTCCTGAACAGGTTCTTTAGGCACTCTTTCCTTAATTTTATTTTAGAATAGAAATTCTTGCTGCATTAGTTCAAAAACTTCCACCCTGCCTCCGTTCTCACTGGTAAAAGATTACTGATCCACGAATGAAAACAGATACTCTTTGAACTATTCCTGTGATCAGTTAAGTGTTAAGTGTTTGCTATTATGGAAGGTTAGCTATTGCTGATAAACATATAACAAACAGAAACATTTACCGATGGGAACAGGTTCTACAGAAGTTTCCCATGGTCTTCCTACCTCTGCCCACAGCTGAATGAAAGGAACAAAACAAATGACAGCCCCAGGTCAAAGAAATCCTGAAATCTCTGGGTACAGCTGCCACCAGCCTGTCTGAGCCAGACCGATGCCTACGTGACTATTTAGAAGCACTCTTTGCCCTTTTCACATCTGGGCCCACCTCAAGCCCAATTCTGCCCACTGCTTAATACAAAGACCATCCATTTCACAAGACGGCATGGCAAGGTCAGGCTGCAACACTGTCCAAAACTAACCAGTGAAGACCACGAGCACAGAGAACAAGCTGTCCAATAACACTATTCTAAGTACCATGTTATTTTGCATCTGTAATTTAGCAAGAACAAACTTAATGATTATCACAAAGTGATACAAATTATACATTTTTTCATGGAAAGTCCTTTACCAGAAAGACCCATACCACAAACAAGTCAGGAAGAACCAACGCAGTGTAGCAGTCATGTGGGACTGGGACTGGAGAGACCCAGGTTCTAGTTCCCCCTCAGCTACGGAGCTGATTGGGTCCGACTTTGGGCCAGTGACTGATTCCCAACTTAACTTACTTCACAGGGTCACTGGGAGGATAAAATGGAGAGCAGGGGGACCATGTAAGTCACCTGGGGTCCCTGGCAAGAGGAAAAAGCAGGATATAAAGGTAACAGATAAACAAACACCAGCTTGAAGAGCACACCAGTTAGCATGGACCTTAAGCAGGATGCTTTCAATGGGTCAGAATGCCTCCATTCATTTTTATGACTAAAGCCTTCAATCCTTGAAGGACCCGTGGGTGGCCTTGAAGGTGTCCATTGAAATGAATGGAGCAGACGCTGGAGCAGAGTCAATATTTCTCCAAAGGCATTTTCCTGAGAAAAAAAATAAAGCTGTTTCTTTTTCCCACCCCATTAGAAAAAGAACGGCGCTTTACAGAGTTGTCTCAAAAATGTCCTTCGCATTTCAGCTCCCCAGCCAGTTAATGCCCTGGAGTGACACCGAGTCTGGAGTATTATTGGGAGTGAAGATGCCCAAGCTGCCAGAGCAGGTGCAGCTGCTGCCACTTGCAGCGGCGGCAGCAGCAACTTGCCACTGCCAAAGGCCCACTGGGAAAAAGGAGGTGTCCTCCCAGCACTACGGTAAGCCCCTCCCTGCACGAACAGCTGCAAAATTCTTCCTCCTTCAGCAAAAATTGCCACGGGGGTAAAAGTATGTATGTGGATTTTGTTTTTGGAAAGTGAGCATATGAATGTTAAAAATTAAGAAAGAAAAACGACAAATGGCCACCTGGCTGCACATTTCACACACAAGCAGGCACTCCAAAATCGAAACTGCTCCCAAAGAACACAGGCTGCCACGTTCTGTGCTGCAGCCACAACAGGAATATGCCACCCAGAGGAAGTTTCACATTTTCCCCAAAGGAGACAAGATTGCACTGTGAGAACGCAGCAGTGGGATACTCCTTCAACAGGAAAACAGCTCCCACTCCTTTGCAATCCATCTCAGTCTGCCAAGAATGGGAAACCTGTGGCCTTGATGTTTTGCCCGGCATTCCCATAATTTCTTAGCATAGCAGTGGCTATGCTTGTTAGGGCTGACAGGAGTTGTAAGCCAAGAGCTTCGGAGGGCCACAAGTGAACCACCCTGCTGTTCATGAACAAGAAAATGGATTAGCTTTTTACTCAGCTGTCATATAATTCAATGGGACCCGGGCAGGAGAACATCTTGGTGTTTTATACCTGTCATATCACCACACATGTCTGCACGCTACAATGCAAATTGTAACTTACCTTTCTGCCAGCCCTCGTTTTGTCAAGCCTGAAATGACTATTGGGTCAAAAGGCTCCTCCGTCCCTGAAATAGTTATTCCTAGAGGCCCGCCATATCTCTTCAGCTCTACTGTGTAGATAATAGCACCAGATGTCTCTTGTTCATCTGTTAGGAGAAAGGAAGATGCTGAATGATGACTCCTGAAGCCATCCAGACAGGTGTCAAAACTCATACGGTTTCTCAGCAAAACACGAAGACTTTACACTAAGAAGTAAGCCTTTATATCTCTTTTTAGGAACTGGGGCAGGGGGGCACAGCAAAAAGGGCATGCGATAACTAAAAAGGTTCTCAGTTGGTCTGCCAACCTTTTTACTATTTGATAATCTTATTAATATGGCCGGATAACTGCTTGATTCCGAGTTTGGGGAGGGGGTTGTTTTTTGTTTTGTTTTTGTACCAGAATTATCCTCATCCTTCCTGATCTTCAATTTGACAAGTTCTTCACACTGCTTTAAAATCTGCACTGCATCCTCCATTGAACAATTGTCGAGTCGGATATTATCAATGGCTAACAGCTTGTCTCCCGGCTCTAAGGTGCCAGTCCTGTGTACAAAGGAAAAACAGTCCTGTGTTTAACACATTCCTGATAGTGGTAAAACTTCTTTTCAAGAGCTGCTGCAATTTTGTCAGTAACACAACAATAATGACTGAAAACACAAGCTGGGGAATAAGTAGTTCTTTGTGGAATAGGCTTGAAATAGCTAAAACCCAGCTGGGAATATATCTCATTTTCACTGGCTGTTTCCCAACAGCTGAAAATTTAGACATCTTTTCAATGTTTCAGGTTGAGAATCCTAAACAACTAAGGAAATTTTGGAATTTCACATCATCAGAAGTAAAAGTGCAGGATGTTGGTGGTAACAGCACATTTTGTAAGTTCTAATTTCTACCATATACCACAGGAATATGTTGCTATTAGGTGCCTGATGTCCTACCCAACAGTGCAGGGATAGGCCAGACATCATAGGCCAAAACATCTGGAGAACCACATGTGGCACCACATTGTACTAGTAGTGCATCATCCAGTGATGTCACAGAATCATGCATCAGTGCACACAGTCAGGGAGCAAATTACGTTTCTCATATTCAATTTCTACATAACAAGGTACTTGCTATAGATAGTACTATGGGAAATGCCCATGTTGGAATCAGTTATAATTAAGGGGGACTCCAGGAGTGCTTATCAGTACAAAATACTAATTTATTAAAGCCAACAATGTGCTCCACTTAGTCACACTTCTTGGTGGAGGTCACTCATATTATGCATAGATGGAGAATATAGAAACATCAGTGAATTTCAAGGCGTGCAAAAGCTGTTGGGCACGGATGATCTTGGATTCTGGGAAGGGCCCATTGTTCAATTTGGAGCATGTCCTTTTCATGCAAAAGGTTCTATATGTAGCTAGATTCAGCATCTACAGCTACAAAGAATGCAGGTGTTAAGTCTGGGAACAACACCTGCTAGAGAGCTTGGAGAACTATTGCTTGTCTGAATAGACAATGGTGACCCAGATGGATCAATAACGAAGTTCAGATACACTTCTGGATCTAGTTTCCCTGAAAAACATGAGAGATGGGGAGTAGCAGAGCTTAAACTTCAACAGGCCATTCTTTCTTATTTAGTAAGTAAGAAATCAAGTACAGACTCACCTGTGTGCTACACTCCCCTTCTTGATATCAGAGATAATTAAAGCCTCCCCGGACTTTCTGCTTGCTGTTTTGTAAGAGAGACATGCAGTCAAAACTCAATCCAGGCATCTCCAAAGGATCATCTTAAGCACTGTACTACATAAATATTACAAAGCAGGAAGCATTCCATTACACTCATCTTTGCTAATTAAAACTTCGTAAAAAAACTGATTCTTAGCCTAAAATTTATTAAGCACAGGCATAGCAGAGCCTGCATTTAAGAACTGCATTCAAGGGCACAGTTTTGCATCTTTGCTGGAAAAAGGATAACCTCTGGTCTTCCATCATATAGCGTCCTGATGCCTGCCATATGCAACATCCTGAAGAAAAGGAGCGCCCATCTCCATTTGTTTCATTGTTCTCTAAGACCAATGTGCCTTACATACATACAAGTGACCTAGACTGTGATGTGAAGGAAATGAAGTGTGATTAGAAAAATAAGTTTGGAGAAGCAACGCAGATGCAGAGAGCCATTTACTGGGGAATCAGGATTTAATTCCAGCTAGGCAGGACATTAATAGACTGTGACTGAATGTTGGGTGAGTGACTGGGAATAGTGAAAAACATTTGCTGCCTCTCTGTTTTAATAAGGGTACTAGAGGGGGCATACAGCCCTTTGCTCATCTATGGCAACAGAATCACAATTAAGGGACCACACCAGGACAGTACATCAGAAGGATGTGAGCAGGATTTGACCTCCCTTTTTACAGGATTGTTTCTGGTAAAAATATTGTTAGGTGAGGAAAGGGAAGGAAGCAGATCTTTGCACTGGTCCATACACTGAGCATGCAACAAGTTGCCGTATGCATAGAAGACGCTGAGAAAATCCCCAAGGGTATAGTTTCCAAAGAGGAAACACTTCATTTTATCAACAGCATCTGGAAGCTGTCAGACCAGATATCTGACATCTCCTTAAATTAAATTTCAAATCCACCCTATTGTAGGAGCTTCTCAATGCACGGCAATTTTACAACAGGAATAGTATATGGAAAAATAACAAAAGGTATACCAAAGCCTTTCAGATTCATTTTATGACTTTCTTTTTCCTACATGAATAAATTTATCTCAGTTGCATAATATAAAAATATCACCAGTCAATGCTCCTAATAAAGCCCAACCAGCCATAAATTAGTTCCTGGTTAGACAACAGCAGTGGCAGAAGTGGGCAAGAAGGGATGGACAAATCTAAAATAAGGAACAAATATTCCATCCACTTTCATTGTTAAGGTTTCACATCCTGATTTAACATCATAGGAGTGCTGGCAAAACACACAGTCACCCAAACAGTATAATACTAATTATGCCAGGTATTGTCCTTAAAGTTGTTATAAACGAGAATAAATTATCTTGAGCATTTTGCTCAGTCCACATTTTAGAGAAAAGACACTTGATCTATTACTTTTGGATGACAATATGGCCTGGAAAACAGATATTCTTTGGACTGCATGCTTCTCGAATTTTACAGCGCAGTCTCTGATTCAAAATGTGTACCAAAATGTAAATCAAATGTGTATTTTGTGAAAAGATGCTCACAATATACATTTAAATATACATGTTTGTACTTTTGTTTTGAAAATTATACATTAACATGGAATTGGATGTAACGGAAAAGGTGCTTGTGAATGAAAGGATGCAAAACGAACACAGAGCAGAAATAGACTTAATCCCTTAATCCCTAGGTCCAGACAGAGGCAGACCCTGTCAATTATGAAAGTTTAATGTGGGTATAAGTAGCTTCATTTCTTTCTCAAATAGACTGAAGTACTGAGCTCTTACATCTATGTATTTTTAAAGAAAACAGAGCACTAAGCAGATGCTCATCACAGCAGAGGCGCATTTGGGTACCACTCCCTCAGGATGTGTGGAGCTGAAAAACAGGAAGGGCGGGCCAGATTTTCTGTATTTCGTATGTTGGGAGCACCTCCTGGATATGCAGAAAGGACTTTTCTCTTTTGAAACACCTTCTCCCTAAATGCATGAGGGCCACGAGCCGTGCATGGGCTCTGCACCTATATTGCCAGTGAACACTAGCAGCAAATGGGAATATGGAGGCACAAGATCAGATAGCAGGAGCTGACATTTTGACTGAAGGAACATGAAAGGCATTTGAATGAGCTCCCCCACACAGATCACAGCATTTTTTTTACAGGTCTACACTTATCCACATCAAAGCACAAACCATCAGATAAGGCAGATTTCCCCAGCTATTTTGCATTACACTTTTTATTGTTCATGGCCATTGGTCATGCTGGCTGGAGCTGACCGGTGATGCAGAGCAAAACATCTGGAGGAACTGGGACTGGCTGCTTTACCAAGATGGGCTCAGAAGAATATATATTAGTGTCAAATATGGAAAACAGAGTAAGAATCTGTTTAGAATCAGTGATCCATGGCATTCAACCAACTGCATTCCAGAAGGCTTGGAAGTTCAGCTCTGATTTAATCTCACACTGGATGATGCTCCATCCAGATAATTCAGACTGAAAAGTCCAAGGCAACAGGATCTGAAGCACAAAGAATAAAAGCTGGTGTGCCTCGCCACACCAGCCCCGTGATCCATTACAGATGATCGCCGTGGCTGACTCGACAAAATGACTTGATGTGTTTCTAGTATTTCAGAGGGTGACTTGCTGAAGGGCACTTTCAGAAAACAGTGACATCGACATCAGATCATCCAGTTGTTCTTCTCCATGAATGCTGCCTGTAACTCTCTTTAAGCCATGGTTCCCTACTTAAAGTGTGTGCTAGAGCTGCAGGTTAGGCTAAAAGCTTAACACCGATCCTGCAGCTACAACTATGCACATAACTATTGCATGGGAGAAAAAGGAACAAAAGATGTGCCCAGTCATCACAGTAAAAATGAAAAATTTCTAGCTTGGTTTTATCTATGGAAACAATTTGAACTAGTATTTTCAAATTAGGTTTAATAGCATTTTACTCTGATATGAGAGTAATTTATTTGTTTACAGTAATTCTATACTGCTTCACAACCACACATTCTGGAGCAGCAAACAGTGTGAGATTAAAACAAATAAAAGAATAGAAATAATACTGTAACATAAGAAAATAACATTAAGACTGTGTCTGGACAAGAAAAGGCTTCCTGGAATAAGATTGTCTTAAGCAGGCACTGAAAACAGCACAGTGTTGGGGTCGGCCTGACCCCCTGAGGCAGAGGATTCTCTTTTCCAGGTAGACTCCAGTCAGGCCATGGGTCTGTGCGTATCCTCTGGAGTTCTTGGCGACCAGGCCAGTTGGTAAGGAGGGAGATCCAGTCTCAGGCATCCTGGTTCCAAGCTGTTCAGGGCTTTGCACTCTAAAACCTTAAAGCTGACCCAATGGCTAATCAGTAGCCAATGCGGTTTCTCCAGCAAAGGACAAGAGGCAGCTCCTGACAACAGTTGAGCCACTGCATTCTGCCCTTGCTCCAGTTTCTGAAACAAACTAAGGGGAACCCCACAGAGAGCTCTTTCTTTCTTTCTTTCTTTCTTTCTTTCTTTCTTTCTTTCTTTCTTTCTTTCTTTCTTTCCTTCTTTCCTTCTTTCCTTCTTTCCTTCTTTCCTTCCTTCCTTCCTTCCTTCCTTTAGGAGACTTCTATGCCGCCCCATTCACCGAAGCCTCGGGGCGGCTCACAACCATAAATAAACTTCAAGATAGAATAATATAAATTAACAATATAAATTAAGTCGCCCTGGCCAAAGAATAAAATGAATAAATAATATTAACAATTAAAATAACATTTGAATAAAAAGGTCTTCGCCTGGCACCGAAAAACAAATAACGACGGCGCCAGGCGGACCTCTCTGGGGAGCGCATTCCATAGATTGGGCACCACCGCAGAGAAAGCCCTCCTCCAAGTACTCACCCTCCTAATTTCCTTCACGGAGGGTTCCCGGAGAAGGGCCTCTCCCACAGATCTCAAGGGGCGGGCGGGCGGGCATATATGGACGTAAGCACTCCTTCAGGTAACCAGGACCCAAGCCGTTTAGGGCCTTATAGGTCATCACTAACACCTTGAATTGGGCCCGGACTTCAATGGGAAGCCAGTGAAGCTGACGGAGGACTGGAGTCATGTGAACATAATGCCCAGTCCCTGTCAGCAGCCTGGCAGCTCTATTTTGAAGCAACTGAAGTATCCGGACTGTCTTCAAGGATAGCCCCATGTAGAGCGCGTTACAGAAGTCAAGTCGGGAAGTCACCAACGCGTGTGTCACTGTCGCCAGGCAGTCGTACTCCAGGTAGGGGCGCAGCTGATGGATCAGCCGAAGCTGAAAGAAAGTGCTCCTTGCCACCACTGTCACCTGAGCTTCCAGTGAAAGCTCTGGGTTGAGGAGCACTCCCAAGCTGCGGACCTTGTCCCTAAGAGGGAGTGCAACCCCATTCAGGACTAGGTTCAATTCACCCTCCCCAAAGCCCGATCCGCCAACCAACAGGACCTCCGTCTTGTCTGGATTGAGCTTCAGTTTGTTGGCCCTCATCCAGCCCATTACCTCAGACAGGCACTGGTTCAGCACAGCCACTGCCTCACCTGGATTGGTGGAAAACGAGAGGTAGAGCTGGGTATCATCAGCATACTGGTGATTGCAGGAATTCAGTCTAGAGGCTACCAGCACCTGTATCACAGTGGCCAAGCTACCCATGGGCAGAAGAGGCTGCAGCTGGTGAACCAATCAGAGAGATGGTCGAAGGCATTCTGAGCCACTGCAGCCAGATGGGACTCCAGCATGAGTGATGGATCTAGGAGGCAGCTCAGGCTATGAACCTGATATTTCATGGGGAATGCAACTCCATTCACAGCAGACAGTAAGCCTATCTCCTGGCCTCAGGAACCACTCACACACATCTTTGCAGGCTGTTGGCCCTCATCCAGTCCATCAGTGCGTCCAGGCACTAATGTAGGACTTGCACAGCCTCTCCTGATTCGGTCATCACAGGGAGTTAGAGTTGGGTGCCATCAGTGTACTGATGGCACTTGCTTTCATATCTCCTAATGACTGCTCCCGGTGGCTTCATACTGATGTTAAA